TTATATTTGTATTAATATTATAAGACACTAATTAAAGTATTTTTACAATTTTTTTTTTAATTTGTACTTCGTTTTAATATAATAATTAATATCTTCAAAGATCAACACGCAAAAAAAAATAAATGAGACCCTTAAATCTCCAGAGCTGACATGTGGAAAATCGAATTAATTCTCGTATTCCATCTCTTCAGTTCTTTCGCAAAGGCATAATCAGATGTCTGTGCTGCCGAATTTCACTGAACCTCGCCGGATTTTGTTTAGCGTCTCTAAATTTCACTTGACCTCACCGTTGTCGCCAAATCAATTTTATGTCGTCGAATTGAAGACCAATGTATTATTATATTGCCTCCGTCCGTCCGGCTCTAATGCCTCATTTATTTTTTATATGTTGATATTTAAATATTAATTATTATATCACGTATTACAAATTAAGAAAAAATTGAAAAAATATTTTCATCAGTGTCTTATAATATTAATAGAATGACATTTGTAAAAAAAATAAAATACAAATATAATGATATTTTTAATATTAAGTATAATAATACAAAATAAAAATGTGACCATAAAAGAGTTAAGGGGCTAATCATCAAATTGAAAGCCTTTGTTCTTAGAATAGTAAAAACAACAATAAATGTAGCTGTGTTTGGAATTTGAATTTCAATTTGAAATTTGAATATTAAAAATTTCGAATTTAAATAATTACATAATACGATATAAATAGATACTGATATAATTATTTAAATACAAAATTAATTTTAATATAATAAAAAAATATATATTTAATTTGATATTTGAAAAACAAAAAATGTAATAAAAAAACACACCCTATACAATGCCAAGATGATTACGTAATTATTACTAAATAATAATCAAACAAAACTCATGTAACTTGCTAAAATTGTAAAATAATTATATACATACTCTATCTGTCCCAGATACCGTGTCTGCGACATGGTATTTTAAGAAAAGTGTAATTAGTAGATAATTAAAAATATATTAGTGAAAATAATTATCTTATAATATAAATAATTATAAATTAAGATTAAGATAACTAATTAGTTTAATTAAAATTAAAAAAAATTAAAAAAATTTAAAATGAGATTAAAGTGTGTAATCATTTTCCGAAAAAGAAAAATGATATGGTATGTGGGACGGACAGAAACGATAACGTGAACATAGTATTTGGGACGGAGGGAGTATTTTTTTTTCTATAATTTACGTCTACAATTTATTATCGTATTTTTATTTTCATAAGAAAAGAAACAATTAATAAATCTGTGTCAGCCAAACATTTGACCATGTCTGTGTTTTTTGCTATTTATATCTTACTAATAAATAAATATTTTAAAAATAATTTATTGGCAGAGCATCCTATGCAGTTCAAATATCGATGGGTGAGGACAAAAGCCGATTCTAACCGTTATGGGCAATCTTGTAATTTCGCTTACTGTTCGGGTCGGGTTCCGACCCGCGCCGGAATTTCAGTGCCTCTGGGGACAGCTTCGAGGCTCCCGAAGCGGGGCCCATAAATCAAGGCAATATTGCCCCCCACCACTTTTCGCAAAATGACAATTGCATCCCCAAGGTAACTCCATTTTCAAAATTTTTTTCAATTTCAAACCCCAATGAAATAAATCCACACAAACTTTGAAAATTATTTTGTCAATGCCAAGAAGATGACAAAATTAATACTCCCTCCGTCCCGTGTATTATGGGCCTATTACGGTAGATACGGGAATTAGATAAAATGTGATTAGTAAATAATTAAAAAGTATATTAGTAAAAATAATTATCGTATAATAAAAATAATTGTGAATTAAAATTAAGATAATTAAATAGTTTAATTAAGATTAAAAAAATTATAAAATTTCAAATTTCAAATGAGATTAAAGTGTATAATTATATTTCCAAAAAAGAAATGGACAAATTATGTGGGACGGACGAAAATAAAAAATAAGGACAAATTATGTGGAATGGAGGGAGTATATATATATCAAAATTAATATATATATATATATATATTATTGTTACTTTCTAATTCAAACACAAAATGTGTATATTTGTTTATTATTATTTTATAAATATTGACTTTATTATACCTTTATTATGCGTTCCATTCTAAGGATTTTGGAAAACTTCTACTATTATTTATATATTTTTTTAAAAAAATATTAAATTAAATATTTATTCCGTCTCATTGAAAGATTATTATTTTTTATTTTCGTCCATCCCAAAACAAAGTTATTATTTCATAATTTAATAATTGTATTACATATCTAACATAATAAATACTCTTTCAAATTACAATATATTACACAAATGCCATTACTTTTATATTACACCGTATTAATAGAGATATTTTTTTTTACTACAATCCAACATAATATTAATATTCAAAAATTTATATGCAAAAACAAATGTCACCCTTCCAATGAGACATAGGGAGTATATATTTTTTATTATATTATACTAAAAATTAATTTTATATTCATAATATTAGCTAATACTTATTTATATTACATCATTCAATTATTCTGATTTAATTGTTTACTATTAAAATTTCAACCCAAAATTCAAACCTCCGAAAGCACATTTAAAATACTTTTAAACTGATATTTATTTATATTAATATTAATATATTAAATTTAAATATAAAAATAAAAAATTAAATTTAAATGTGGTGTTTATTTGAATTTTTTTTAAAAAAATAATATTTTTATATAATGTTTTGTGAAAAAATTAATATATTTTTTATTAAAATTTGTGTAGAATGAATAATATTATTTTGATTTAAAGTATAAAAGAAAATTCTTGTTATAGTATTATTTAAAATGATGTATACATTTTTGGGTATATTTTAGGAATATTATTTTTAACTTTTTGTGTTTTATTTTTAACTTTTTGTGTTTTAATTTTAAGTTTTAACTTACATAATAATTAGATGTGATATTTTTTTATGAAAGTAAATATTAATATAATAGTTCCAGAGAATATATATATATATAATTAAATAAGCATTTTTAAAATTTTAAAAAATAATAATAAAAAGAACAATATTTTTATTTTATTCTAAAGAATATTTCACCACTCTACGTGTGGAGTGTATTTTTTTAAACTTATTTTGGGTCAGCATAATAATTTAAAAATATGAAATTTTATTAAAAATATATTTGAAGGTAATTAGAAAAATTTAATGGTAATGAAGAAAAAAAATATAAATGATATATAACAATAATAATGACATATACCACCGGACTGTTTCTAATCGAACTTTTTTCAGAAACACATTGAGAATACATTTTGAAATAAATAATTTAGTAATTGTACTACTTACCTAATATAATAAATATCTTTTCAACTTACAATATATTACACAAATGCCATTACTTTTACATTACACCATACTAATAGAAATACTTTTGTCTTTTTTACTACAATCCAATATAATACTAATATTCAAAAATCTACTGCAACAAAACAAATGCCCCTTTCCAATAGGAAGAACGGAGTATTTAATTTGTGTTCTTTCTATTTTCGTTTCATATATATTTTTCCAAAAAATTAATACACTATATATATTGATTATTTTTATATTATTTACACAATTTTTATATTTTATATAAAAAATTTCACTTATAATGCCAAATAAATAAAAGCTATTTATGTAAACAAAGAATTGGTACTTGAGAAAGGGTTAGTATGATGCATTTCACTTTGGTTCTATTTCTAAGATTGTATTTAGAAATACATTTTGAAAGTGTTTTAAAATTTAGAGAATGATAAAATATTGAATAAATTATTTAATATAATGTAAATAAATAGTCCGTCCGTCCCATGTAATATGTGTGTATTACTGTAGACACGATAATTTAGGTAAAGTATAATTAGTAAGTAATTAAGAAGTGTATTAGTAAATATAATTATTAGTTAGTAAAAATAATTATTATTTAGTAGATTAAGATCGAGATAAGTATAAATAGTTTAATTAAAATTAAGAAAATTATAAAATTTTAAATTTAAAATGCGATTAAAGTGCATAATTATATTTCCAAAAATAGTAAGGACAAGTTACGTGAGACGGACGAAAATAAAAAATAAGGACAAATTATGTGGGACGAAGGGAGTATTCAATACTGATATTTTGCATAAATAATCAGAAATTGTTTGATTTTATTTTCTGCTATTAGTTTTCACTATTCATTTTTAATAATTTATTATTATTTTTTTTAAAACCAAAGTATCACATGATATATCTACTTTCAATTTTAAATTGCAACCAAAACGTTGTAATATTTTAAATATTAAGTAAAATATCAAACAAAATAGTAATTAATAAAAAATATTTACTCCATTTGTTTCAGATCCTATAGACCAATTAGTTAGGGACATAGTATGTTAAATAATGTAAATTAATAAATTATTGATAATAAATTATGATATTATTTTATTATTTTTATACGAATAGTATTGTTGATATTTTAATTTTTTTTTAACGTTATATTTTAATAAAATATATAATAGAATATTATTTTATAGATAATAAAATTTTATATTATACAAATAAAAAATTATATTTATTCATTTATAATTAATTTAAAACTAATTTTATAAAAAAATAAAGAGTTTTAAATATATCTAAAAATATTTGTTAATTGAAGAGAAATAGAAATAAAAAAAATTATGTAAATTTTATGTATAGAACAATATTTGTTAAATATATTTAAAATAAATAAATTTATTAAAAATAAAAATAGAAATATTTCATTTTTTATGTAAAAAAAAAAAAGAAAGAAAAATGGATAAAATAATGTGAAAATACAAGGCAACCAAATTAATTTTGAAAAATTTCATACCCACAGAGGCAAAGGGCAAAATAGTCAGACGCAAGGGCAAAATGGTCATACGAAATCAAAATATTATCCGGGTTGGGTCATCATATTCGGATCTTCCCGTTTCCGTCGTCTTCTTCACCTATTCAAATTTTCGGATGCTCCAAAGTCCAAACTCTCTCTCCTCCCCCGCTCTCTCTATCTCTCTCTTCTGTCAAAGAGCAGTCTCTCCGGTCTCGATCGTACGCATCGCGAATCCGCATCTCAGTTCTTATTCTCTCGAATTTCAAGGCTCCGCGCTTATCTTTTTCCCTGATACTCAAGCTTTTTGCTCTACAGGAGGCCAACGGTTGTTGTGGTGGAAATAGGAGCGGAGGAATGGAGGAACAAATGGCGGTGGAGGATACTGCAGCGAAGGAGGAGGTTGAGGTGGAGGATTGCTCGTTCACGGTTTATGAAATCGATTTTGACTACGAATTCGACGCCCCCCGCTTTTTCGACTTTAGTCAAGAAGAGTTGCCGCTGGGGGCTCGCCAAGCGGAAGCCTGGTTCAACTCCGCCAGAAGCTATCCTCCTTCTCGTAATCTTCGTTTCGAACTCTCTTATCGTAATCTGAGATGTTTCTGATTGCTTATTTGCCGTTGTCTTGAAGTGTTTGGTTATATTTGTTCGCTTTTACCATTTGGTGTAGAACTGTGGTGAAAGTGCGCTATCTATGGTTGTTTGTCAGAGTGATTGAGCCTTGTGTGGATAGTGATGCGAGTGTATGATTAAGATTTTAGTTTTCTGATTCACATTGTTCCTCTTTTAAAGTTGCAAACGCATTGAGACGAAGCCGTTTCGTATCTTCGTGGTAAAGGCAAAAATCACCGACAGTTTCTCATATGGTTAGTCAATTGTGGTGGGGCATTTAGGGAATCAGGTGGTTGTGTTAAAAGGTTAGGGAGAAAGTGTGTAAAACTGCATGTGGCTTATAAGTTCAGTTGGTGTGAGTTAAAACTTTAGGTTTGTGAAGATTGCTTTAGTATCAATTTGAATGCCTTTTTTTCTCATTGCATTATGCGGCACTATCCTAACTTTTGTATGGTTGGTGAATTTTGCCATAGCTTTTGTGTGCAAGCTAGTTCCAAAGGAGGTTATCTTGAAGGAAAACATACAGGTCTCTCCAAAATCTAAAGGCAGGGAAGAAATTTCTGCAGAGAGCATGGATGACGAAGGTAATATTGGCTACATCTCCGTAGTATATTTTCTTGATATAGTTCTATGCACGTTGATAATCCTTGCAACTTTTCCTGATACGTCTAAGGTGCGGAATAGTATTGGTTCGATGAATTTATTATACATAAGGTTCTTCAATATTGTAAATGGGCTTTAGTGTGGTACCTGACAGGATTCAAAACACTCTTGTGGTCTTTCTCATGGTGTATTTGAATCACTTCGTTGAGATCTTTTTAGAGTTTGTGAGGATGTTGATATTTTATAGTAGTATCCACTATTTAAAAAAGTATGTTTGCTTGAGGGAAAAACTTAGATTCTGAGATTGTGAGTGCTAACTGCTAAGGGTTTCAGAGTTGCTTTTGTTGCAAATATCTTTATGATTGCTTTTTCACGGCCCACATTTTGAGCATCCTGATCTAATGCTATTCCCAACAAATTAATGGCGGTGACAACAATCCTCTCATCTGTTAAGTTGTTCAAAGGAGCCATCATAAACTTTTACTTGGGCATATGATTGTGTATGATGTGTGGAAATATTGATCACTTGGTTCAATGCTGTTGTTGTTCATGAGGTGAGAATGTAGAAAATGTGAATAGTTACAAATTCTATCATATTGAAATTACCATATTCGGTGTAAGGGTGATGTGGGCCTGTCTTTATTCTTGGGCTTGGTCATTGGATATCGAATCAGCTCTTTTGTTCTTGATAGAAAGTGGTATTGTTCTGCCAGATGTGCCTAAATCTTGAAACTACGTTATCAATGAAAGTTGGAAGGTTTACAGTGTTCATTGATTACAGTGAAGTGTTTGTGTCAAGGAAAAAAATAGACTTGTGGATTGTGTGATATTCAGGAGCTGTGAGAACTGCCTCTGAAGGCACAAATTTCGCTGGTTACTATTGTGTTACTTAAATACTGAATCTTGCAGTAGAAATTGACTGAACTTGCGCTTGAAAAAGACATCACATGCATCAAAAAGGATATATGCTAAATTGGTCCCTGACAACAGGAACTGGAAGTGTGTTGGATGGAAACCGTACAAACAATCGAGGACAGAGGCTGGTTAGATTTTGCTTTTAATACAGACTGTTGTAAGTTTGAGTGGTTGTAAATTACACAAAGGAGATGGGAAGAGGGCATATAGATTTGGATTTGGAACTATTAGAAAAAAACTGGATTTCAGTTAACACTTTAGTACAGAATGACATAGATAAAAGGATTCAAAAACTGAATTTGTAGAATGGAGAGTAGCTGAAGAATGAAGTTGTTTTTGTTTCCATGACTAAATTTTTTGCAAGCAATATTGTATCTATGATTTCAAAGTTGTTTTCGTTATATGGTAGTCGCTCTTATCATTAGACTAGGTAAATGTGATATCACCTACTCAGACTCACATTTTTCACATTTCTAGATGGACACAACAGGCAGATTTCGACCACACAGCATGACAACAGAATAATGTTCAAGAATCCTACCGAGCAGTCAACCTCAGGTTGTCTTTCTTATTTTTTTATAATGTAAAAGGTTGAAATTTATGTCACAATGTTTTTCCAATCTTCATTTGGTGCATTGCTTGTATATCAACAATATAAACAGCTGTTATTCTAATGGATCTCCTATCATCTATAGGTTTAACCTTTCACAGTCACACGGAAAACAGACCTGATTCAAAAGCTCAGTTTTCCAAAAAGCCATCTTTCCCTAGGTCTTCATCTTTAATGATGCCAACAGCAAGTCATCTGGCCAAGCAAAATCATCCTTTTCGATCTGGTCATTCTAGGTGATTGTTTCTTATTAATTATCAAATATTAACTAGATGTTATAAGAGCATTTACAAAGAGAAAACCTGTGGTGTTTCAAATTTCTTGTGCTTGCTATACTAACTATAGGTATTTTAGAAGGAAAAAAATTAAGATTTTCTTGGTCTTTGTTTCCTTGAACAGATACTATTATTTTGCAACATGATCATATCCTACATTCTTTTATAGCCCCAATATTTTATTGATTAATGTTGTTTGAGCAAAAGTGAATTTCATGCAATTGATTGGTATATTATTTCTACTTTAAATGCTAGATCAATTTTTGAGAAAACCAGTAATAATTCAATAAGCATGAATGGAGTTGAGAATCAAGCAGCAAAAAGACAAAAGCTCGAGGGGGGTCTTCTGCGAAAGGTATAGATTATTTTACTGAATAGTGAAGTTCTATTACTTCTCTGATTTAGGTTTTACTTTTTCATACTCAAATGACTTGTGATGGTTTGGTGGATATCTCAAGTGCACAGTAAGAATCAACATTACTGTCATTCTTCACGTAAACATCATGATGTTTAGCATTGATTCCTATTATCATCAAATATAGCCCGGTTGAGGAAATTTTTACTTGTTGCATGCTCCCACATGGAGATCAATATGACTTCACATTTGTTTTTCAGTTTCTAAAGTTTCACTCATAACAACAGGTTGAGGGTGCATCACAGCTGCAGCAAAATAATTTTGTTCACAAGCTGCCTAAGCGGGTATGTTCTCATTAATAATTTCACCTGCTTAATGCAAGATTCTGCATTTGAAATGAAGTTTATTTCTTTTCATATTTCAATATGAAAAATCTGTTACTATGCCGGATATGTAGTATAGGTGTCTTTAATGTTTATTTATTATTATTACCTATTGATGGGGAAGCTAAGTAAAGGGCAATCGATTTTTAAGTTTACTGCATAGAAGTGGCATAAGTTTATTTTATTGTTTTGACAGGAGGGATTAGTTGATGGAAACACAGCTCATACAAGGCCAAGGTTCACAATTCCTAGGGAGCCAGATCTTGAAACGGCACACAGGGCTCAAAGGATAAGGTTTGCTTTATCCACTTATTTGCTAACTATTCTTACTGAAAATATGCACCTGTCCTATTTCTAAATTTATGAGGTGGTTGGTCATAAAAGATCTTAGGTTGTCATAACGTCCGCAAAGTATGTATGGTATGATACTTATTACAAATTTAATCAATGTGATATTTAACATTTTATTAAATATTTATGCATAAAAAAAGCAAAATGAGACCTAGAGTAGGATTATATATATTTATATGTCTAAAATGTATGCACTATGTTTCAAAAAGCTTAGGGGTAGCTTATATGTTTTTACCTTAGAAAGCTCCAACAGAACTCATTAATGAAACTTCTAAGCTCTTTTATTTCTTTTCCAAACAAATAAGTGGTGTTTTAACTCTTAAACTATGTACAGGGAGTTTAGAAGCTGAGCCAATGGCCCATTACGTGAAAAATGCATTATAATGTTGGATTACATTTTACTGAAATGTGGATTTAATTATCCTCTTTGATCTTAAAATTCAGGTTCAGGCCAAAGAGTTCTAAAGAAGCTGAAAAGGTGACATCGGCGGTCGGGGGATTCAAAGCTCTCCCACTAAACAAGAAGGTTAGTATTTATTTTGTCTTAAGTGTGATATCACTGCCTGCCAATATAATTTGCTACATGGATCTAATTTCTGTACTTTCAGGTTTTTGAAGCACCTTCATGGATTCCAAAGAGAAGCACCCCTTGTTTACCAAAATTTCAAGTTAGTGTACTTGGGATTTAATTGAATTCCTGGATTATTTCCATGGGATGAATTTTTGATTGAACTGAAATATAATCTGAATTTACTTGGTGGCTTTTATGTCAGGAATTTCACTTGAAGACTTCTGAGAGGGCTTTGCAACACAGCTCCACTATTTCAAATTCCAATGCCCCTTGTAATCAATCTGATAAGGTTAATAAAGAAACACTTGGAATATTATAAATGTGCAAAATATTATAATAAGGTCACGAGCTGGCTTAAACAATGCTCATGGCGAGACATTTATCTTGCTCCTTGCTATGCTTTTCTGTTATAGGACTTACTCAGAGGGGTGGTTGACATTATATAATTTATTTATTTATTTTAATCAAAATTTCACTCCCCCATCAATACCTTGTTGCAGGTCTTGCATAAACATGCCAATAGCTTACTATCTGAGTTCGGAAATAGAGAATGCTCCCGGTAACCAATAATATTATCCTTGTCAATTGTTCCTTGTTGACATTCTCTGATCTTATTTGCCATGTCTTTTAGGTTCAAACTAAAGTCCACTCTTGCTTGAGCATAGGCCTTCCATTTATTTTGTATTTTCACAAGCTGTTGTTTTAGCCTCTGATAGGTGTGTTGGAATATAGTTACAAAAAGGGTTGTCATGATGCTGAAGCTCATTATGGTGCTTGTTTTGTGCCCTTTCTACACAATTCTTCGGAAGTTTCTTTGTTCAACATTTTCAACCTTTGGCTATCCTTTTATGCTGGGACTTGATTTTATTCGGTGCCTGCACTTATTTTTTTTACCAACTTTCATGCTCCGTTCAGTAGACTAATTTTGAAAATTTCAGAACAAACACTCTAATTACTTCGAGGCCGGATGATGGTGAGTCTTCGCATTGCTTTAAAGCTCTGGCCCTCAATAAGAAGGTAACCTTTAGAATGCAGTTTCCAGGTTGAATTTTTGCAAACATTTGGAATCACTGCATATATATATATATATATATTCTATTTCAGATTTTGGAAAGCAAGGGGGATGTTGGAGTTTTCCGAAATAATAAGAAGGAAGCTACAGTTCCAATGGTAGTTGTTGATCTACTGTTATTTTTTGTACATAGTTTTTGTATATATATTCATTTTGAAATGCCATAAATACCTTTCAGGAATTCGATTTCCATACGGGGAAGAGATCTCAATACAATCCTCCAGTTGAACTTTTCAGCAAGGTGCTCTATAATTATTATTAGTTTCAAGCTTAATATTATGCTCCAGATTCTCCTGAAGATATTTGACTTCCATTCCAGATTTTCTTATCACAATTTCATCATTCATTCAATACTTGCTAGTGAAGAGAACACATTTCTTAACATAATTTTTTTGTTTGTTCTTGAACCAGCTTTCCGTGACATCCGATGCGCAGCGAACTGCTAATTTTGAATCCAAATTGCAACCTTCTATCAACCGAATGTTGAAGGTTCTTGAACATTCTTTACATATTACTAACTGTAAGCATTATTGTGAGATTTTGATTGAATGGACTGATTTTTTTAAAGGGCACTAAAGAGAATAGATGGGATTGCTCCCAACAAGGAAACGAGGTAAATAAATTTGGCTTCACACTTTCCTATTTAATTCTAATATTTTCTGGCGATCTACATCTGGTTTTTCAGCATCATTTTTCAGTTACAAATCGACTGCAACTGTCGTTTGATTACAGATAAAACAAACTTCTTCGAAACTGCCCCTACCAAGTGGGATGCAACAGCTCAATGCCGCTGAGGGATCAAATGGAGTTCATATTGCTGCTGGAAATAACTGGTAATGGATTTATTCAATGCCAACTCTTAATTCTCGCTCCCCGATTCCCTTCCTTACGGTAAATCCATGTGGCAGGAGTAAGAACATCCGGTGAATCCCAGACTACGCTTCCAATGCGACAGTAGCAGCAGATCAGCATGAATGGAAATAGAATACTACACAAACCTGTTAAAAAAAAAATCAATCCCATTTGCTGGGATGCATAGTTTGGTTTCTCTAGAAACTACTCCTGAAGATTACCTTTATACCGGAAAACCTGTGTGGTATTATCACAGGTTGATTCCGACCCATGGAATATACAGTACAGTTCAACACAATCCCATGGGTTCTTGAAAAGAATTTTGCGAGAAAAATGTATATATAGAACATGCTGATGCAGGAGTAATTGCTGCTATATTCTGAAATAGGACTAATTTTCGTCTGAATGAGCCTCACAGGCGGTGCTATGACAGTTGGAAATATATTACACACACAAATATCTCTTATTCGTAGCTATAATATGTGCTTGACTGTGTTTTTCTTACTCCCTGTATTTCTCTGCTTCATTATCTCTCACCGAATTGTGCTTTCCATTGCTTTGTTTTCCCCAGCGCCTTATGTCATACATCTTTTTCAGAGGTTTCTTCTCCTTGCCTAGCTTTCGCTCTGTTATGGCGATGGCGAGGTCATTAGGGAACAATGTCTTCCACACAAAGGCGTGGAGGAGCGTGGAGACAAGCAGAATGGAGACCATTGTTGATGACATGAACGATAGAAACAAAGCCAGGCCTTTCGTTATTATAGAAGGTACCTGTTCTGCATACTTGATTGTCGCTATAGAAGCTGTTGTCATCGGGAAGGTGTACGACCACCATGCTATTGAAAACCTGTCGAAATTCAGGCAATCCAGGTTAGTGATCGGATTCATTTTATACAGCTTGAGTTAGAACTTTCGCTTTCAGTCTTATAGATTCTTTTCTAAGTTCGGGTATAAACTATTTTGGTTATTTTTGGCCTAAACTTGACTCATTTGCCGTAGTTTTTGGTACTATTGATTTGATCTTCTAAGGATAGAGGCTTGAATTTGGCGCGCTTATTACGTGACTAGTTAGTATGATTTTTCATCTAGATTTACCATTTTTGTCGAAGAAATTTCGAACATAGCTTAAGTTAGTATGATCCTCGAGTTGAGTTTGGCTTATTTAACAGGAGAGAGGAAAAATTACTTGAATCCGCGGAAGAAGTTGATGCGGACGACGAGTGAGCAATACAAGAACAGAGCGATGAAGAAGCACGTCCTCGCCAGCCCGTCGAATTCGCCATAAACCGCTCCCCAGGCGATGCTCGCCGCAGCTGGCGTAGCGATGAACATGGAGTACACCGGGTGGAGCTCCTTGGGCAGCGCCTCGCTCGTCGGCAGCCTCTGGTACAGCGTCACAAACACCACGAGGTAATGCGCGAACCCGATCGCCCACAGGAACTTCCCCGCTTCCCCCCACCCCACCTTCGCCGCCAGGATCGCGCCCACGAAGTTCCCCACCACCGACAGATGTGACGAAGGGTTCGCCACCTTGCTCAACCGCCGCTTCCCCCCCGAAAGCCACTGCCCGTAGATTTTTAAATCGAGGAACACAACCGGCGCCATGAACACGCACCACACGGCCGGGTGCATCCTCTCCGAGTCCATGCACGGCGGCACGCCTATGGATAGGAACATCCCGACCACCCACGGCGCAAAGAAGAAATTCACCCGAACGGGATGAAAATACTCGCGCTTCACGGCCTCGAAGTAGAATACGCATTTTAGCGTGTATGCAGCGAACACCGCCGCCAATGCCGATAAGGCGAGCGTCCAGATGACGAGGTTGATCAACGGCGTTATGTGAAGAAATTCCATCGACGGGCTCGTCGCCAGCGCTCGCCAAAGAATCGCCTGGCTGCTCAGCCCGAGACACATCCCGAAGCAGCCAATCGGGAATCTGAGCAGGAACGGCCATTTCTCGTCCTTTGGTAATAGTATGTCCTCTGATTCCTGCGATTTTTTAAGATTCAACATTCGATATTCATCATCGATCTCTCGACTAACATTGGAGTTTTAGGCGTACCTTGATTTCGTCGAGTTCAGGTCCTTTAAGAGCGGCGAAGTATCGCCCCGCCGGAACACTCTTGTTGACGCCTTCGCTGGGAGCGCCCCCGGCGACGTTCCCGTCGGCGTTGTTTTGTTCGAAATCGAGCATCCCGCTATCCCGCCTCGACGGTAACTTCGAGTTCTGCCGGACGAGCCCCGATTTCGTCCGGAAAATATCGAAGTCTCCTTTCCTCTCGGTCATCGCTCCCGCGTTGTATCGATGCATGGTCCCGAACCCGCCGAAACTCTTCCCGCTCCTCGGCAACGCTTTCCTCTCGGTGCTCTTCTCTCCATTGAGCGCCGAAAAACCCGTCTCGAGCGACACCTGACGACTGAAACTCCGGTTGTTGTTAGGCCTTTTAGAGTCGCGAGGTTTTATCGGTTTGTTGTTTGCGCTCCGCTTTTCTTTGTTTTCGGCCATCTTCGTGTTTTTGTTTGTTTCGATCTTTTCTTGCTGCTGTTGTTGTTGTTGTTCTTCTTCTTCGTCCTCTTCGAGCGCTTGGTGGATGTCGACGTAATGTGCGGTGGAAGGTCTTTTCGAGATCTCCCGCATTTCCATGGCTGTTGTTCTGAGTTGAATAGAGATGAGTAGAGTTTAGCGCGTCGGAGATCGACGGCGTTGCGACTTAAGTTTTTATACGTGATTTTATTAGGAGATGTGGCTGTAAGTAAAAGAGATTTGTGAAAGAATCACGGGAGTTAGGACGTACGATGAAAAACTTGGCTTCCATAATCAGCCGATGCTGTAAAGTCGTTATAGAGTAAGGTGTGTTTTCTCGTGACATTTAGGTGTGTTCATCAACTAATTAATTTTGCAATTGGAATTAAATCCCTCTTGTTTCTTGTGATAGTTTAGGAAAATAAGAGATGATTTGTAGGTATATATATACATAATGGTCAAACATGATTTTCGTTACTTACTTTGTCATAGTCAATGTTAGAGCTGGTAATTTCGTATAGGGTTTGTGTGAGTGTGTTTCTTTTTGTTGAGTTTGGAAACTTTTCATTTGAGTTTGGTATTACAATAATCTTTGATACAATATATTGTGAGAGAAAAAAATGTATTTTCTTTCGAGAAACGCAGATTCTAAATAATAAAATTTTTAAAAATTTGTGTAAGAAACATACCCTAAATGAGTGAACTAATTAACCTATTTATCCATTTAAAACATTTCAGTGTGTTTGTCTGGGGATTGGATTTTAAATTTTCTATTCATCCCTTTTTTTTTTTTTCAAAAACATCAAATCAAATACCTATTTTTTATTTTTTATATTATACTAAAAATTAATTTTACATTCAAAATATTATATCAACATCCATTTATATCATCTCATATAGTTATTCAAATTCAAAATTTTTACTATTCAAATTCCAACTCAAAATTCAAACATTCATACAAACACATCCTAAATTAATTAAAAGATCTGACGCGAACTTATAAAATTTTCTATAATTTAAAGCCCAGAATTAAACAATACCCAAGTAACCAATGAAAAAACAAAAATGGAATGTGTTTGTCTGAGACTTTGAATTTTGAATTGAAATTTAAATAGTAAAAATTTTGAATTTAAATAATTGTATAATGTGATATAAGTAGATGTTTGATGTTACATTTTGAATGTAAAACGAATTTTTAATATAATATAGAAAATAAAAAATAGTGTTTAAATTTGATATTTTTTAAAAAGAAAAATTTGACGAACAATAAAAATTTGAAAAAATCTAGCAGAGAAACACACCCCAAATGTAATCATACCTGCCAATAAGTTGAAAATATACACATTCTATACCGTTGAAAATTTATTAGATTAAAATCATTTTATATAATAATTAAATCAATTAATATTAATATATTATAATTGAATTGTCATATTGATTTCGAGTCGATGGCCTCAATCTTCAAAATTTATATTCGGGGCCATCAAAATTTACAAACGGCTTTGTCTATATTAAAATATCAATAGAGATTCCCCTCAACTCATCCGTCATCAAAACTCAGGACTTACTAGTCAACTTAGAAATATCTCACCACTCGTTGTACAGATGTTTGACAATAAACTTGAAAATATAAGGATATGTGTTTACTTGTAAATATTTTCATTTTTTTCATAGTGCAAGCCGTTCCTGGGACCGGGCGATAGGGGCGACCGTCCATGGCCCAATTTAATTTAGGGCTTATTATTTATTTATGTTATATATAATTATTTATATATAAAAATTATTTGACATTAATGTATTAGTACAAAAGCATGGTTTGGTGGTTAAGTTCTATCTATATTATTTTTTGAGGTTTTGGTATTAGTACCTAATTTTTGTTTTAAGATTGTTAATATTAATACTATTATTGATATTTTATCTAAAAATTCTAAAAAAATTATTTTATTAATAATTTATGCTCTATTATAAGTAAAAAATAAAATCAGAGTAGATCATTTATATATATTTATGGATTTTCTATTTTTGTTTTAATTATTTTTTTTTGCACTAAAAAGATAATAAATATTAGACAAAATTATTATTATTATTATTAGGAAAAATTATTAATAACTGATCATGATTTCGAAACTCAGTGTAAATCCTCTATATACTTTTAAAAATAGCATGAACCACCTTATACTTTTAAAAATAGCATGAACCCCCTTATACTCAGGGGTTTAATATAGCGTTTCTTAAAATATAGGGGAGCCTTACGCAATTTTTAAAATTTATGCTAGAAAATATATATATTTTTTAATTTATATTTTATTATAGGTAAAAAATATTATATATATATATATATTTAATGGCCCCTAATTTTTATTTCGCCCCTGGCCTTTCGAAAGTCAGAAACAGCCCAGAGTGCAGCCATCTCAATTTCTCTTTCAAAATATTTAGTATCTGTTTATACCATAAAATATTGCCTGACAAACATTGTTCGAATAAAAATATAAAATTTTTAAAAAGTAAACTAAACACATTTTAAAGGGCTTATTTTTTCTTAGTTTTGATCATAAAAACGGTCACAAATCAAACCCCTACACCACCAAGTCATCCCTTACGGGACTATAATATTTTTTTTTTTATCTGAAAGATCAGGGATTTTAGATATAAATAGTGAATAAATAGTAGATACAAAATACTCCGGGCATCCCCGGAAAATCAACCAAAGCTAAGGCCTGGACATACAAATAACGAAATTAAGGTCTGCACGCAGGCAAAGACGGACAAAAGAATCAGGGGATTTCTATCGTGTAGTAAAGGTCAAAAATGGGAGAGCCCCAATCTGTGTTCCAGCAGATTAATTACAAAATATTTGCAATAATAATAATGGAAGATGTAGGCACTCGATCCCCGTAAAATCTAGTGGGTAAAGAAGCTGGTTTTCCAATTTGTAGCAGCAAAAACTGAGCAGCTGCACTCAAATGCACTTTCCTGTCAATTCAAGCAAAATCTGGTGCAAATAGAAATCTTATTACCAATTTGTAGCAGCAAAACACCGAGCAGCTGATCTCGAGTGCACTTTCCAGTGGCCAGCTTCAGATGTCTGGTCGATCCTGTTATTGTTATGTAAAGTAGTTCTTATCATGTTTTAAATATTGTTTTGAAATAAAATAATATTCTTAAAAATATAAATATATTTAGTTTTTTTTTTTTAACTAAAAATGGCGGGAAGATTAAAGAACAATCTAATCCTATTTTATATATTAGTATGTTTGTTTTGAAATAAAATAATATTCTTAAAAATATAAATATATTTATTTATTTTTTAACTAAAAATGGCGGGAAGATTAAAGAACAATCTAATCCTATTTTATATATTAGTATGTTTGTTTTGAAATAAAATAATATTCTTAAAAATATAAATATATTTAGTTTTTTTTTTAACTAAAAATGGCGGGAAGAGTAAAGAACAATCTAATCCTATTTTATATATTAGTATGTTTGTTTAGTGTTTTGATTTAAAGTATTTGTTTATATAAAATATAGAAAATTATGTCGATAATATAAAAAAAAATAATAATATTTTATGTTGAATATTAATTTTTTTTTAAAAAAAATTGAAATATATATTAAAAAATATATTGAAAAAAATTGAAAAAACAAACTCTATTTATACAAAATATAAGAACTAGATTATTTAAAATATTATATAAAAATTTACTTATTATTTAAAACATCATATTTAACACCTGTATATCTATATTGTATTGTTTAATCTTTATTACAATTTATATTCAAGTACTTTAAAAACATATAAATGCAAGCTTATTATTTGGATATATTTTACAATTGTTTCATAATTTTAAATATTAAAACTTTAAATTGAAATAGAGGCAATATATATATACACTTTTATTAATACTCCAAAACTTTTATAACTTTTTCCTATTTACACTCTTTTATTATTTTAAATAAAATTTATAAAGATTATTACAAATAAAAAGTAAATGCAAAACTTGTCAAAAAAAAAATTTATTAAAATTATAATACCTAAAACTCATGCCAAAATAAAATAAAAAAAAGAAAAGAAAAGAAAAGTAATGAGACTATATACTTTTAGCATAAATTTGTTTTATAAAATTAGATGGAAATTGTACATAAATATATTTATGTATTTATTTAATGAATATTAAACACACATTTGTTCTCTCATATTCAAACTATTCTCAATTTTATTTTATTTTTTTAAAAAAATCATAGTATATTTTTATCATTCGGTGCGTTTTACTTTAAATTTTTTTTTTTCATATTCTAGTAAAAATAATTATACATTAATATTAAAATATCTTTAATTTTTATTTAAATTACAAATATATTATTACACATACAGAATCTGTTACATACACATATTAACCAGTAATCTACTACAAAACTTCAAATTGTCTATTTGGAGCGAAACAAATGAAGTATTTTTTGTTATTAAAAATATAATAATATCTTCTCTTTTTACAAAATATTTAAAAAATAATATAAATTAGTTAATTCGAATTATTTTTACAATTTTTTTTTAATAATTAACAAACAAATTCTATAAATTATAAAAATACCCTAGAAGAACAAAATCATTGTGAATATGCTCTCAAAGTAGGCAAAACTTTTTTTAAATGAGTATTCAAATGAGACAATGGCAAGAAACAAAAATTATATATATATATTTAATAAAATCAAATTTTTGTCACAAATTCTTCTTGTGTTTGCCAAAGCATAGATTGTTTCGATTTGCATTGTAAGTGACAATATAATTACATTTCGGAAATTCCAATGTTAGCCGGCTAAGTGTTCTTAAATTTTATGTCCTAACACTCATTCATTAATTCACAATCTTTCTCTCTATATATACACACCACACTCAATCGAATCGAAATATCTTCTAACTCGAAGAACTAAGTAAATCGAAAAAGGTCTTAAAACATTTACTTAGTTCTACAATGGCCTCAATAACTTTCTTGGTTTCGATTATTATCGCGGTGGCCATTGCCCCGACTATGGCCGTTGATTATATGGTCGGAGATGACGCTGGTTGGAAAGTCGGCGTAAATTATACCCAATGGGCCGCTGGAAAAGATTTCCGCGTTGGAGACACTCTCAGTATGTCTTTTTTTTTTTTTTTTTAAATGTCATATCTGTTAGATGTAATATTTTGTATAAAAAGTAAGTATTGTATATGATACTTTAAAAAATAAAAAATAAAATTGAGAGATTAAATAGTGAAAAGAAAAAACTAAAAAATAAAAAAATGTAAGAGAGAAATTTTTTTCCTTTTTTTTCTTTCAATTGTAATATTACTATCACAACTCTTAATGTGCAAAGTTTTCGGTAAAAATATGAGTGTGTTTACTTGTATAATTTTCTACCTGATTTTATTATTTAAATTTTTTTTTAAAAAAATATCAAATCAAACATTTACTTTTTATTTATTCTATTATATTAAAATCAAATTTTACATTCAAAATATCACATCAATACATATTTATATCATATCAAACAATTATTTTAATTCAAAATATTAATATTCAACTAACTTTGAATTCATACTAATTATAGGAGTTATGAATATAAGTTATGCTTACATTTAACATTTATTTACGTCGCACATCAAATACTTGTACTTTATTAAACTGTATATTATCTCCAAAACTTTCGAAAACTCCAAAATACTTTCAAAATATATCTAAACAGACTTTAATTGTTGTTCGTGCAATTTAGCCGAGAATATAAAAAACTCTTTCGTATTTTTTCGCAGTGTTCATGTACACAGAAGGAAAGCACAACGTCTACAAGGTTAACGGATCCGACTTCCAAAATTGCAACCCCTCGACCTCCTTAGGGGGGCCTCTTACAAGCGGAAAAGACTCTATTACCCTCGCAAAACCCGGAAAAAAATGGTACATCTGTGGCGTGGCAGACCATTGCTCGAAGGGGATGAAGCTCGTCATTACGGTTTCCGATGCCTCGGCACCGGCCCCGGCCCCCATCCCCGGAACACCGGCCCCCGGGACTTCGTCTGCCGACAAGATTGCGCGATCTTTTATGTGGATTGTGGCCGGCGCCATTGCCTATTCGATGCTTTTGGCTTGAGTTATCTTGAGAAGCTCTCTTTTATATCGATCGAATTTTTTCTAAGTTCTTTTTTAAAAAAAAAAAAAAAAAAAAAAAAATTGTATTTGGAGGTTGAGGGTCTTATTTTTCTCTTCTTGTTCTAAATAAAAAGATGAGAGCTGATTACATTTGTTTTTGGAATTGAATGGTGATAATTGTTGTGTAATAAAAGAAGTTTGCAATGATATAAGTTTAAAAGAATTATCTCTAATTTATTTATTTTTTGGGGTAGTGATTTGTGAAATTTTTATACTTTTGTAATGAATCGATAATTTTGAATTTTGTTAACGCTTGTACTCGTCGCAAAATATGAGAAGACAAATTAAATAGTTTGTTTTATTAAGCTGATTATTTAGTTATAATAAGAGTTACCTTAAATCATCGGTTGAGATTGCTTTAGAGTTCTCAAGCATAAAATATTCGGGAATCATTGTTAAATTTTTTGTATAATTTTATTATTATTATTATTATAATGGAGATTTGATATACTTAGTATCGAAGTTTTCCTCACATTCAAAAAAATTTCTACTCAAAAAAATTATATATATTTCATTTCTATGTCAATTTGATGAATAATCCGTATTTATATTGCACTTTATATACAAAGATCCTCAAAAAAAAAAAAAAAAAAAAAAAACTCTTAAAACAATTATTAATATATCGAATCGAATTATCCTTTGATAAAAATAGAAAACCCAATTTTCATTAATTACAAACATAAGATCGCATCTCTTTAAAGATAAAAATAAATTCTACTCGAACGATTCTTCAACTACGATCGGATATGATTTGAATATATTTGAACAAGAAGTCAACACTTTCCACAATTCGAAGACTCTACACCAACATCGAATCCAATTTAAAATAGAAACTAGATCAAGTATCTTCGAAGTCTTTAAAAAAAAGTTATACCGAACTATATAAAATAATTAAATAGTAAAAAAATAAAAAATAAAAAATAAAAAATCGATTATTCTAAATCGACTACAATCCAAATATGGTCACGACCACTTGATTGGAAAGTAGATTGTTCCCCCCATGTGACATTGTTCCAAGAAACCATCCATTAAAGGGTCCCAAATAAAAGAAAAGACATATTACAAAGTAGTACTAAAATTCGACACAAATTTTATACTAAACCTAATCAAGGCAATTCATGGAATTTTGCCACTTGGGACATGCCTAACCTTAAACCCCACAAAAAATAAAAATGTCTTCTTTTCGAATTCAAGATTTGGTAAAAATCATGTAAATGCAAGTAATTAAACCTCAAAAATTACAAGAACTACAAGGACAAGAACATTATCTATATCCCAAGAATCATCATCAATTCTTTGTGTATTTAAGCTCTTATATCATTCATCAACATAATTTTTTGGGTTTTCTGAATAGAAAATATAACATCAAATATTCAAATTTTTATGGGTTTTGTAATATCAATCAATCCAAAGTGAAGAACACAACAAAAATTGGGGATAGCAAAAAGGAGACACCTTTGTTCTCTTCTTACACCCTTTAAATTCCCCCAATCCAAAAACAATTATACAAAACAACACCAAATTTAAAACCCAAAAAAAAAAAAAAAAAAAAAAAAAAATTAACCCCCCAAAACCCTTCAATTTTTTCTTAAAATTTTCTATCTTTTTCTTCCCTATACACCAATTCGTCATCAAATTCAAGAATACAACAATTCCCATGACCAAATACCAGCAAAAAATAAAAAACAAATAAAAAAGGTAAAGCAATCGTGACCGTTCATCTGATCCGAGATCTAAATCCAATCCAACGGCTAATGCCCGCCCCCCTTCGCCCTCTTCCTCGCCTCGCTGTAAAGAACAACACCCATAACAGTAATGGCGAACCCCATCATCCCCATAACCGTCACCGGATTCCTAAAAATCAACACCGACACGACGGCGGCGACGGCGGCTTTCGCATTCCCCAAAACCTGCAACGTCAGAGCACTCGTGTGCTTCGTCACCAAAAAATTCGTCAAATTCACCAAATACGCCACCGTCGCATTCGCCGCCAGCAGCACCACCATAAACCCGTCGCCGGCGGCCTTCTCCGCCGCCACGGCGGCGACATTCCCCTCAATATAAAGCGTGAACGGCAGCAGAATCACGGCGGCGATCGGAGCCATGTACAGCAGTAAATTCATCGAGTGCAATTTCTCGGCGTCGGAGCTCAGCAAAACCCCCTGCACCACCGATTTTAGCGCCCGACCGGCGGTCGAACCGGCGCACATAAAAAAACCGAATAAATGGAAAAGCGGTTCGCTGTTGCTGGCGACGACGATGCCGAAGACGACGGGGACGAGGGCGGCATAAACCTCGGCGGATTCTTTTTTACAGGTGATAATAAATGCGAAAATGGCTGTGAAAAACGGCGTCGTTGCGCCGATGGCTTGGTTGAAGGAGACGGGGAGGTAACGGAGGGAGGTGTTGCCGCAGACGACGGAGAAGGAGAAGACGGCGGAGAGGGCGGCGATTTTGAGGAACTGCCGGCGGCTGTGGATTTTCTGGAAAGGTACGATTTCGAGGAATTTAATGGCGGCGAGGCTGTAGGCGGCGCAGGATAGCATGTGGAGCATGGTGAGGAAGATGGGGTAGCGGAAGCCATAGAAGCTGAGGAGGTATTTGTTAAGGAGGAGGACGCCGATGTTGGAGAGGTACCAGGCGGCGATGATGGCGGCGGTGGTGGCGCCGGAGGAGGTTTGGGGGTGTTGCCGGAGTTCGGCGGTGGGGGTGACGGGGATGTCAATGGATTGATCGGCGGCGGCGGAGGAGGAGGAGGGGGGGTCGAGGCGGGGGTTGCTGCCGCGGCGGGTGGTCCAGGACTGCGCCTCCACCATGGCGGCGGCGATTGGGGTGGTGATGGGTTGGGGGGGGTGGGGGGTTTTGGGGGAGATCTGAGATTGGGGGAGGGGGGATAAGAGGTGGACCAATGAGGGGGGAGGGGGGATTGGGGGATGGATCTGGATGGACGGTGGGGATTTAGATTTGGGAGGGGGGCGAAGGAGGGCCGTTGGATGGGGATTATTGGAGGGGTGACGTGGTGGGGCCCGGTTGGGTGTCGGTACAAATAATCAATTGGTTCTGTGGTTGTGTGTGAGGGTAAGCTTCTGTAATTAAATTAATTAATTAATTAATTACTAAAATATTTGTGTTACTGTTAAGTGATGGTATTAAGGCAACGTTCTTTTTAATTATATATATATAAATATAATTATTAATAAAAGTATACTCACCTCTGACTTGTTTTTTTATAGTCCCTTCGTACCAAAGTATTTTGTAATTGACACGAAGATTAAATAATAATATTTTTTTCGTCTTATTTTATTATTTTAATTTGTCTTTCAATAAATTATATTTTTTAATAACTATATTATCTATTTAATATTACAAATAACTTTATAATTTACAATATACTATTACATCAATGCCATTACTGTTATATCACACAATACCCTTATTTTAGTCATTTTTATTTTATTTTTACTATATTCTAATATAATACTAATATTTTTAAAATTACATATAAAAAATAAATGAATATTTAATTATAAAAAAATGAATAATATTATATTAACAGTGGATATAAGTATTTCTAAAAAGACTAAAACTATTGATAAAATATAGAGATAATTTTATAAAAGAGTGAAGAATTAATTACTAAAAATAAAAAATAAAATTATTTGGGATGGAAAGGGTATCATTTTATTTGGCCTATAATACTATTAAATAATAATATTTTAATATAAAATAAAATTGATAAAAAAATAAAAAAATATTTCTTCTGTCCAAGCAAGGATACCTTTTGGTTAAGTATTTTAAATAATGTTAATTAATACTAAATTATTATATTATTTATTATTTTTATACGAATAATATTGATATTTTAAATATTTTTAAAATTATATCTCAGTAAATATATGTAATATGAATATTATTTTGTATTTTATAAATAATTAAAATTTATATATTCTCTCCGTCTCATTGAAAGGTTGTCATTTTTTATTTTCATATGTCCTAAAATATAGTTATCATTTTCTAATTTAGTAATTATACTACCTATTTAACATAATAAATATTTTTCCAATTTACACTATATTATACACTTTTGATTAAAGTTTATAATTAATTTTCCAAAAAAGGAAAGACAAATTATGTGAGACGGACGAAAATAGAAAATAAGGACAAATTATGTGGGACGAACGAAAATAGAAAATAGAGACAACAGAGGGAGTATTAAATACTAGTAATATTTTAATATAAAATAAAATAGATAAAATATATATATATATATTCCCTCCATCCTAATGATGGTTAGATAATACTCTCTCCGTCTCAGATGCCGTGTCTGCTACACTGTAGACATTGAGTGATGTAATTAGTAGATAATTAAGAATATATTAGTGAAAATAATTATCCTATAATATAAATAATTATAAATTAAGATTAAGATAACTAATTAGTTTAATTAAAATTTTAAAAAAATAAAATTTAAAAATGAGATTAAAGTGTAATCATTTTCCAAAAAAATGAAAGTGACATGGTATGTGGGACGGACAGAAACAACAATGTGGACATGGTATTTGAGACGGAGGGAGTATAAAATACTAAGTTATTAGTAATAAATTATGATATTATCTATTATATTTTTTATATGAATCTGTTTTAAATATTTTTAGATTATATCTTAATAAAATATATACAATATGAATATCATTTTGCAGATAATAAATTTTTATACGACAAATAAATAAAAAAAAATATATTTATTTATTTAACTTAAAATCAATTTTATAAAAAATTGATAAGTTTTAAATATAGATAAAAATATTTGTTTATTGAAAATATACAGAAATAGATGAGTTTTGAGTGGATCTTGCGTGTAATAAATTAGAAATTTAATTAAATTGATTTATATTTGTTAGGTACGTTTAAGATGAATAAATTTACAAAAATAGAAAATAATCCTCTTTTATGGAAGTGACAAAAAAAACAAATCATTTGTAGCAGAAAAAAGAAGTAACATAATAAGTAAAAAAAATAATAAATTGATTATTATTTATTAAAATAAAATTTTATACTCACAAGATTATTTATTACAAATAAATTATATATTCCATCCATTGTCAAAGTTTAAATATTTTATTTTAATTTTTGTGTTAATAAAAAAAATATTCTTTGTAATTTTGAATTACTGAAAAAATATAAATTTAACGGACAACTAAACAAAAGAAGTGCAGAAATATTTCTAATAAAGGCATAATGGATATGTTCACCCTAACTCCAATTAATATAGCAAATTATATATATATAATATTAATAATTCAAATTAAAATATTATTATTTTGAAAAAATTATCATATTTTTTTATAGTTAATAAAAAATACTTTAAACTAAAAATAATAAACAAACATATCTAATATTTTAATAATTTTTTTTTTTATATTTTTCAATAGCCAACACCAAACTTTTTTAAACATTAGAGTTAAGTCACTGATATTAAGCCAATTTATTTAATTCTTTTTTTGTCTTTTAGTTTATTTATTTTGAATATAAAATTAAAATTAATACTATTCAGTAAATTTTTAATAAAATATATTATTTTATGATATAAAACATTTATTTTTATACAAAGTATATTGCTTCTTTGGTAACCTTAATTTTTTTAAAAGAAATTTATAGTAAATTAAGAAAAAAATAAAATTATCTTGAGTGTATTTAATAATTTTTTATTAAAAAAAAAGAAAAAGAAAAATATTATATACAAAAAGAGAAGTGTTTCTATACGCATCTAGAAAATTTAAATCAAACTTTGATCTCTAGTAGATGTATTTTTTTTAAAGAAAAAAGATTATATATATATATATATTTTTTAAAAATTTATATTGCTGTAAATATGCAAATTTAAGAATAATATAATTAGTAATAATTCAAAATATATTAATAAAATTAATTACAATATATACAAATAATTATAAATTAAATTTAAAATAATTAATTAGTTTTAAAATTATAAATTCTAAAATATATAATTATATTTTTTTAAAGAAAAATTCTAATATAAAATACAGAATGAAAGGAGTTATTTTATTCAAAAATTTATTATTATTATTATTATTATATTGTTATTATTATCTTTTTGTCATGTTTATTTGTTATAAAATAAACTGATTGTCAATAAATGACATTGGACTTTGGGCCGGTGGATAGAGCTGTTAAACGAATCGAGTCGTTCGTGAACTCAGCTCGGTTCAGTTCGATTCAGCTCGGTTAAAACTCGTTCGCGAACGTTAACGAGCCGAGTCGAACAACATAAACATATCCGTTTGGTTAACGAACGAGCCCGAATTTTGTTCGCAAACGTTAGTTTAAATAATATATTTATTGTAAATATTATATATACATATAAAATTATAATTTATAAATAAATAAAATATTAATTTAAAATATATAAATAAAATAATTTTAATTGTTTTTTATAATTTATATAAAAATTTAAAAAAATAAGACAAACGAGCTCGAACGAACTTAATCGAACCTAAACGAGCCGAACACGAACACGAGCTCAAACAACAAAAATTCTTAACGAGCCAAGCTCAACACTACGAACGAGCTCGAAAGCTTAACGAATGAACACGAGCCTTGTTCGCGAACGTTAACGAACACTTAAAATTTGGCTCGGCTCGGATCGTTAACAGTTTTACTGGTGGGCGTGTTTGAATTAAAAAAAATAAGCACATACTCCATCCGTCCCACCACAATTGACACTATTTTCATTTTTGTCTGTCCCGTTATAATTGACACATTTATATTTTTAGAAAAAATTATTAAATCAAAATATATTTAACAAATATAAATCAACTTAATTAACTACATAACATACAACATCATAAATGATGTAGGACCCACACAAAACCCCTTTATTTTTATCACTCTCCTCAAAAAAATAAATACTCCCTCCGTCCCAAAATATTTGTCTTGTTTTTCAATTTTTGTCCGTCCCAAAATAATTGTCTTGTTTCCTTATTTAGTAGCCGTGGTCCCCACTTTATAACAAAATTATTCATATTTTTTCATACTATCCCTAATTATTACTCTAACATACTCTTTAAAATTCTTCAAAAAACACGGATATTTTAGTCATTTATATTCTACTTTATACCCACTTTCAATTAAATATTATTATTCCTTAATTCTCGTGTCATCTCAATAAAACACTTCCTTTGGGACGGAGGGAGTATTTTTATCTATATTTAAAATTACACATCTTTTATAAAATTGATTTATGTTAATTATAAATAAACAAATTATTTTTTATTTACTTGTATTATAGAAAATTTTATTCTCTACAAAATGATATACATATTGCATATATCTTTTAATTGCTATATAATTTTTAAATATTTAAACATATATTTTATTTTTTTAATTATATATTTAATTTATTTTAAAATTATAAATATTATTAATTATAAAAAAACAATATATTAATATCATAATTAATTATTATTAACTAATTAAATATTTTTACCTTAAATGCCGTATTCCTAATCAAAATGTTCCATTCAGGTGGGATGGAAGGAGTATATATATATCCACATATGTATATATATTTTTTAATGCTTTATATGAATGATTAATTTGTTTTTATTGTAGTTGAATATAATTGATTACAAGGATTAAAATTTATAAATAAATAAGCACCTTAAATAATAATAATAGAAAGTTTATGCAAATAAAATACTCCTATATTTGACTCATTTATAATATTATTCATAACTTTAAATTAATTTTGGGAGGAGTTACATAATACTATTATGAATGAATTCGTTTATCAATAAATGTCAGAAAGAAAAAAATAAATAAATTGTCACATTTCCCGATAATATTAAAGTCATATAATAATAATATATTGTAATCCCTCCGTCCCATAATAAAGTATTTATTTTTTTATTTTAATTCGTCTTATAATAAAGTATCAATTTCTTTTTTTAGTAACCGTACTATATATCTAACATTACAAATACCCTTACAACTTACAATATATTACACAAATGTCATTACCTTTATATCACACATACTAATAAGATTATTTTAGCCATTTCTACTTTATTCCTACTATATCCTAATATAATACTAATATTTCTAAAACTACGTGAAAAAAACAAATAGATATTTATTTTCGGGACGGAGGGAGTATTATATATTTTTATTATCAAATGCCAATATTGTAAAAATAATAGTATTACATAGTATTTTCTCCGTCCCATATAAGTATATTAACGAATTTATGTAAAATATAATTAGTAAGTAATTAAAGAGTGTATTAGTAAAAATAATTATTATATAGTAAAAATAATTATAAATTAATATTAAGATAACTAAATAGTTTAATTAAAATTTTAAAATTTAAAATGTGATTAAAATGTATAATTATATTTCCAGAAAATAAAAGGACAAATTATACGGGACAGACGAAAATAGAAAATAGGAACAAATTATGTGGGACGGAGAGAGTATAATTTATACATTTTTTTCCCTATAAATTTGCATAAATATTCTCAATTATTTTACATTTATTATTAGTTTTAATCGTTAATTTCAGTTATAAATAATCATTTTATGATTGAAAAAAAGAAAGATTTTGCTTAGAGTGACTCTTACAATGCTGAATTTTGAAATTCAGTATCGTATTGACAACACATCATGTGCTAATATACATCACACGGTATTATTACAGACAATATATTTTATATATATATATATATATATTAATATGATACAAACACAACAAATGAATTAATAGCCCATAATATACTCACACAAGACATGCAATAGTTGATTTTCAAATATAATACTCCATATGTCTATCAATTTTTTTATTTTGGTCCGTTCCGTAACAAAATATCTATTTATTTATTTTTAGTAATTGTGAGAAGCATAACTCTTCCCTTGCTTAATTTTTTTTTTTTTACTATATACTCCTTAAATGTCTTGATTTAGTGTTATACTCCATCCGTCTCGTATCTATATATGCATTTGTTTTTTTGCACAAAGTTTTAAAAATATTAATATTATATTGGAATAAAATAGAAATAAAGGTAAAAAGACTAAATTAACCCTATTAGTATTGTATGATATAAATGTAATAGCATTTGTATAATATATTGTAAATTGTAAGGTTATTTGTAATGTTAGGTAGGTAGTACCAATACTAAAAAAAAAAATTAATACTTTGTTATGAAACGTACCAAAATAGAAAAATAGATAGATTATTAAGAGACGGAGCGAATATATAGAATAAATATAATCCGATATGCTATCAATTTATTTTATTAACAAATATTAATAAATACTTTTGATATGTCACAAATAAAATGCTCTTTTTTTTATTTTTTTTTTTATTTTCAAAAAGAAAATAGATTATAATTTTCTAAATCGACAAATTTATGTGCTTTTAATGAATATCTTCTCCTTACTTGTTTATAAATATAATGACTAGATTTCTAATTATTTGAAATCGACAAATTTACGTTTTGTTTAGATCATAATTATTTTATTTTATTTTATTTTGTAAAAAGATAAAATAATAGAAATTGAGCAGTTTATATAATATTTTGTGATAAAACATTATATTTATTACTCCCTCCGTCCCATATAATATGGGTGTATTACTGTACACACGAGAATTTAGGTAAAGTATAATTAGTAAGTTATTAAGAAGTGTTTTAATAAAAATAATTATTATTTAGTAAAAATAATTATAGATTAAAATTAAGATAACTAAATAATTTAATTAAAACTAAGAAAATTATAAAATTTAAAATTTAAAATGCGATTAAAGTGAATAATTATATTTTCAAAAATAGAAAGAACAAGTTATGCGGGACGAACGAAAATAGAAAATATGGACAAATTATGTGGGACGAAGGCAGTAAATTACTGTTAATGAATCATGCCAAAACTTCATTGAATTCGTGAACGTGTTGGACTTCTATCGACATTGCCACACATAATAATGCCAATAATATTCAAGAACAATGAATTATTGCTTATAACCAAAATAATAATAATAATAATAATAATAATAATAATACTCCATCGGTTCCATAATTATGTATCCATTTATTTTTTTTACGAAATTTTAGAAATATTAGTATTATACTGGGATATAGTAGGAATAAAGTAGAAATGACTAAAATGACCTTATTAGTATTGTGTGATTTAAAGGTAATGATATTTGTGTAATATATTGGAAGTTGTAAGAGTATTTGTAATATTAGTTAGATAGTACATTTACTAAAAAAAATTGATATTTTGTTATGAGACAAACCAAAATGAAAAAATGGATACTTTGTTGTAGGACGGAAGAAGTAATATATTTTCGATTCAATTTATTTAGGGTGTGTTTGTCTGGGGGATTTTTCCACAAATCTACTATTCATTCTATTTTTTTTCCTCCAAAAATATCAAATCAAAAACCTATTTTTTATTTTTTATATTCTACTAAAAAATCAATCTTACATTTAAAATATCATATCAACACCTATTTATATCACATCGTACAGGTATTCAAATTCAAAATTTTTACTATTCAAATCCCAACTCAAAATCCCAATCCCCAAACAAACACACCCTACTTTCTCAATCTACCAAATTTGTTTTTTTTTTTTGTTTTTTTTTTCCACAAAAATATGTATTTTTCACTTATAATAAGTAGTACTCTCTCCGTCCCAGGTACCATGTCCACGTTGCCGTTTCTGTCCATCCCAAATACCATGTCACTTTTCTTTTTTGGAAAATGATTACACACTTTAATCTCATTTTAATTTTTTTTTAATTTTAATTAAACTAATTAGTTATCTTAATCTTAATTTATAATTATTTATATTATAGGATAATTATTTTCACTAATACATTCTTAATTATCTATTAATTACATCCCTCATAATACCGTCTCTACAGTGTAGCAGATACGGTATATGGGACGGAGAGATTATTTTTTATACACTATTTAATTTATATATTTCATTATTGTATTTATTTACAAATATGTCACCATTTACGTATAGAGTTAGACTTTGTATGTTTGCCACTTTTGGAGTCTATTTTCGACTGAAAAACCTAATTTGGATTGGGTGTTAGATTTTAGTCTACACTTTTATATATTTTTAATTTATTTTTTCTGTAACTTGTACCTAGTTAAATTCTTCTGTCTCAAAAGTATAGTCTTATTGTGTTTGACAAAAATTTAAAAAATATTAATATTATATTGATGGCTAATAAAATTTTAACTAATTAATTATAAAAAAGAGTGTAAAATTAAATGTAGTGATTATTAATTAGAATTACACCCAACCAATGACGATATCTACTAACATTTTAATTGAATTGTTAAGATTGAATTAAAATTGAAATAGAAATATGTAAAAACGGATTTTTACGTCATAAAATAAAATAAAATAAAATGTCTCAACCTGAGCCGTCACAAAAATTGGTCGTCTCCGGCGAGGTTTCCAACGAGCTACAATGCTTCCCTTTATTGGCGACAGTGCGCCGGTCGTGGTGGTTGGGGCGGAGGCGCCCCCGATGGAGGTGGGCGCGGCAGTACTTGTGGCCGTGCGCCACCAATTTGGCGCACCGCCATTTTTTTCCGTCGGTTCGGCGGCATCGGCCGGGCTCGGCCTCCACTTTACTTTTAATGTCCAAATGCAACACTGTCCGACCAATAAATATCAAATCAAATTTATATATTTTTTAATGAGTTATTTATTAAAAAAAGAAATTACTCTCTCTCTCTCAAATCAAAGTATTATTTTTTTTATTATTTTCGTCTGTTTTATTTCAAGGTATCATTTCCTATTTTAAAAAGAGTAATCATACATTAATATCAAAATACCATTAACTTTTATTTAAATTACAAATATACCATTACACATACAATTACTTAATATTCGCTCCGTCCCAACTTACTCTTTTTATTATTTTCGCATGTCCTACTCCAAAGTCAATTTCCTATTTTAATAAAAGTAATCATACATCAATACCAAAATACCCTTAATTTTTACCTAAATTACAAACATACTATTATTATTTTACGTAAAATCAAAGGGCAAAAATGTCAAAATCTTTTACACACTTCTACTAATTAATAAAATATTATTATTTTTTAATATACTACAAAATCCCAAATGGCCCATTTGAATCGGGACGGAGGAAGTAGCATAAAATCAACGGACAAAAATGTCAAATACTTTTACACATTTCGTACGCACTTTCATTATCTAATACTCCCTCCGTCCAGTTAGAAAATATACATATTTCTACTTTGGAACGTCCAATTACAAAGTAATCATTTCATACTCCATTTTTTCTACAAATATTCATACTTTACATCACATCATTACTTTTATACCAAAAAAATAAAAAAAAATATCATTACACTATTTTTATCTACTCACTGTAATTAAAATACTAGTATTATTTTTTATACTCCGCGCCAAAAGTAAATATATACTTCTTGGTTGTACGGATGAAATAAAATATTACTCCCTCTGTTCCAATACAATAATCTTTTTTATCATTTTTGTCCGTTCCAAAACAATAGTTTCATTTCTATAAATACTTGTATCACCATAAAATTATCGTTATCTTTTCATTATTATTAAACAAATGCCACTACTTTTTACATTAATATACTCACAAGGGTAGAAAAGTCTTTTATTGATACATTTTACCAACTATCGATATAATATCAATATTTCTTAAATCTTTTGCCAAACTCAAATAAAATCGTAGTTTTGATAAGAAATGAGTATTATTTTTTAATCTATTATAAAATTTCAAAAGACTCGGTACGATAAAAGGCCAGAGGAAGTATATAATGACGTACAGTTGGGGTAAAATGTGCGGACAAGAGACGAGGGGAAGCTCCTCCAGATTGGGAGAATTAAGGAGGTCGGAATGGGAATTTGCTTTTCGATGTAAGTGTAAATTAGTGACTGCTGCTCCAGCTCTCTTAGCTGCATGAATGTGAAATGACAAGAATGCCCCCCGCCATTGTCTTCAACCTCGACCTCAACCTCGCCTGCACAAAAGAACTCTATCAGACAATATATGTATGTAAGAATGGAGGTTGGTGCTTTAATTACCAGTGGCAGTGTTGGTGGGCATAAGAAGAGGAGGAGAGTAGAGTGAGAGAGGGTGAGAGTCTGCCATTGCCAATGAGAATCTATCTAATCAATGACTACTTCTGATTATCTTCTTTTTCTTTCTTCTTGTTCTGTATGTGGACATGGCGTAGAGAGAGATAGACAGAGAGGAGATCTAGAGAGAGAGGGAGAGAGAGAAAGAAAGAGAGTCTCGTGAGTTTTGACAGTGTCAGAAATGTCGTGGGAGATGTGGGCCGACGACAATGTTGTTTGGTTATCGATTTTCGATTCGAGTTCTGGATTGATCTATAATATGAAATATAAAAATCAGTTTGGATTTTGAATTTTAAGTCAGACATGAAATTATAACTTTTATTTTTATCTCCGGGTGTGTTTCTTCTGTGGAGGGTTTCGAGAAAATTTGGATTTGAGTTTGATTTTTATTTAAATTTTGAGGTCATTTTGAATTTATATGTTTCTTTTGTGTTTAGATTTGAGTTAGGTTTGAAGAGCTTTGAAATGTATCGATTTAATGGTAATAAATATAATAATATAAATACATATTAATTTATATAAATTAATTATAAATTATATAAAAAAAATTATTCTCTATAAAATAATATATATTATATATATTTTAAAATGTTTGTTTATTTTAAACAAAACTAAAAATCCTAACCCATTTTAAATCGGATCATAAGGGCTGGGCTCCAAGCCAACCCATTTTCTCCCATATTTATGGGGATAGCTACAGATTTACTCAATATGGAGTAACACTGTAGCTATTTTATGTATTTTGGTTATTTTGAGATGTTTTTGTTTAATTTTATTTTTTTTTAAAAAAATTGATATATAATTTTAAATTAAAGTAATATATAATTTTTTTTTTTTAAAAGTAATTATAATTTTATTATTTTAAAAGTGATACATAATTTTTTATTTTTATTTTTAAAAGTGGGGTGTAATTTTTTATCCGGACGAAGGGAGTATAATTTTTTATTGTAAACAAGTTTAGATTTTACGATATAATATTATATATATAGCGACTTTTTACTCTAGAAAAAGAAAGAACATTATGCAACGCGATGAACATAGAATGGGAATGTTGGATTTTTTGTCCTTATGGTCCACCCCAAAATAGATACACAAATACACACTCGTTTTGCAGCCCGAGCACATTCGGGCCTGGCCCACGTCCCGACTTAGCATCCTGTCCCGACTTCGTCTGAATTCGACCGACCGTCCCGACTTCGTCCTGGCTAGGACCGTCCCGACTTCGTCCTGGCTTGGACCGTCCCGACTTGTACCGTCCCGACTTCGTCCTGGCTTGGACCGTCCCGACTTGGACCGTCCCGACTTCGTCCTGGCTTGGACCGTCCCGACTTCGACCGTCCGCCCGACTTCGTCCCGACTTGGACCATCCGCATACATACCGACTGTCTGACCTTATTCCTCCCGACCTTGACCCACGTCCTGATCCGACCCGACTAGGATCCGCGTCTTTTTTTTAGCCACGCCCCTGGCCGTCCGATCTAGGGTTTTGATCCTATCCGTCCATCCGATCTTACCTGTATATATATACCTGGGGTGAGAGAGGCGCCGTTATTCGATACATTACTCACTCTCTCTCTAAAAGCTCACCCTCTCTAGCCTTTCTCTCTCTCGACTTTTCTTTCGCTCTCCTGTCCGACGGTGGTTCACGGCGGTTGTTGTGTAGTGCCTTTCCTCCTGTTTTGTGGAGTTCCTTTGGCACTGGTTTCCCCCTGTTTGTGTTGTTCGTAGCCGAAAGGGGCTCGTTCAACTGTAGGCTTGTGGTTTCTGTTTCCTGTATGCCTTTTACTTTTCTGTGGGGTTTTTTGTGGTTGTGAGTCGTGGTGTTGTGGCCGGTGTGCTTGTGTTAGTCGCGATTCGAGTGTGTATGTGTATATGTTGTGTTTCGAGTGGTTAGGGGCTGAGCCTGGCCAAATCGAGTTAAAGTTTTGTTCGATTTTCTTAATAAAAGTTTAGATCCGTTCCGCATTTTTTAAATAACAAGTGGTATCAGAGCATTGTGTGCCTTTTTCGTTTTTTTTTTTTTTTTTAGAAAATCGTTTGTCCTTCTCGGTTCTAGTTAGTTTTGGTGTAAATAGTGTAGATCTGAAAGGATCTGGTTGAATCGGACTTATTTTTCCAGTGTTCGGTTCTTTTCCTTTTAGATCTGTTTTGAAACCGGCCAAGATAACAGTCGATCTGTGCTTTTTTAGCCTCGGTCGAGTGAGATCTGTGAATAGAGAGTCTTAATCGCTTCAGATCTGTATAGTCTGTGTTAGTTGGGCTAAGTTTCAGTTAGTTTGTTACTAAACCGTTGTATTTTTTAAAAAAAACGGTTTTGTTTTTTTTTTTCAAACTTTCTTTGTTAAACAAAGTATAAGTCAGGTTAGTTGCCTCTGTGTGGTTTTAGATCTGTTAAAATTCGTTTGGATCTCTTTACTGTGGAGTCTAACTCAAAAGTTTTTTTTTGAAAATATTAAAAGTTTTTTGAAAGAAAAAAGTTCTTTAATATTCAAACTTTTCTCGTTTGAAAATTAGTAATAAAATCAGTAAACCAGTCTGTTTTTTTTTTTTTGCATTGTAGTGTCGGATCTGTGGAGAACACTGTTTCGGTGTTAGTTTTTCAGTGATTCTAACTTTTAGTTAGAAGAGAAACAAATTTTTAGTATTTTTGTTTCTTAAGATTAACCATTGCTAACCCTTATTCTCCAAAAAGGATAATAGGCCGTTTTGTGTTGTTCTCTGTTCCTATTTTTTGTAGGAATATTAATTTTTTTGTTGCTGTGCTTCAAGGGTAATCTCTAAAACCCATCTTTTACAATTACTGCTTTGTGTATGGTTTACTGCTTTGTGTATGGTTTATTTCTTTGGTGAATGGTTAATTGCTGCATTTAATTTCTCGCCGAAATCATCTGTAAAGGCTATTGTGAAACTAGGTTACTAAACTCTGATCCTCACATCAGTGAGTGATTCTCGAGTACCTCGGTTGAATAGTCACGAGTGTATGTTGTAATAGTTAGGTTATATCTTGTGATTAATTTTTTTTTTTTGCCTGCTGTGATTATCTGTTGTGTGTGATAATCTGTATTTCCTGCTCGTCTGTGTGATCTGTTGCCATTTTTTTTTTTGTTTCTGTTTTGTGTGAAAATTAGAAAATAATTTTCTGATCACTTAAGTAATATTTGTTTGAAATTAAAAATCTGTTTTTTCAATATAAATAAAATGGCGAGTCACTCTGGTTTTAGTATTCAACCTTTTGATGGAAAAATGGATTTTGCAATTTGGAAACAAAAAATGAGAAGTATTTTAGTAACTCAAAGGTTGATTAAAGCAGTGGAGCCTGATCATTCGATTCAAGTTCCTCTTGAGAGGAGGGTTGAATTGGATGAAATTGCTTCATCTACTATAATCTTACATTTGGCAGATCATGTAATTAGAAAAGTAGGCAAACAAGAATCTGCTTTGGCATTATGGAATAAATTGGATGAACTATACACTCAAACATCATTACCAAGTAGAATGTATTTGTTAGAAAAATTTTTCAGTTTTAAACTTGATTTATCAAAATCAATTGAAGAAAATCTGGATGTTTTTTCTAAACTAATACAAGATATTAAACTTACTGGTGACAAAAACATTGATGATTATAGTGCTATAGTTTTATTGAATGCCATACCTAACACATACTCTGATGTAAAATCAGCTATTAAATATGGGCGAGATTTTATTTCATTAGATGTAGTTATTAATGGTTTAAAATCTAAAGAATTAGATTTACAAACTCACAAGTCAAGTAAGGGTGAAGTTATGTATGCTAGGGGTAGGTCACCTTTTAGATCAAATAAAAAAAATAATTTTGGTAGTAACAAAAACCAAAATAATAATAATAAAAATAGATCTAAAAGTAGAAATAAAAACAGATCTAAAACTCCTAATAAAGGGGGTAGAAGATGTTTTAATTGTGGTGACCCAAATCATTTTATACGTGAATGCCCTAGAAGAAATAAAAATAACAGTAATAATAGCAGTAACAATAGTCAAAAGCAGCAAACTAGTGAAGTAGCCAATATGACATTGCTTGATAAAATGTGTGATGATGTTTTTGCTGTTAAAACTGACTGTTCAAATGTGAATATTTGTGCAAATGAATGGCTTATAGATTCTGGTTGTACTTATCATATGACTCCTTTAAAATCAATTTTTAGTGAATACAAAACCTTAGAAAACTGCACTGTTTCCATGGCTGACAACAGTATATCCAATGTTCTTGGAATAGGAAGTGTAAATTTAAAATTTAACACTGGTTTTGTATTGAAACTAAATAATGTGAGGCATGTTCCTGGTTTATCAAATAACTTGTTATCTTGTGCTGCTTTGTCCGATTTAGAATTAGAGGGTAAATGGGGGAGTAATTGCATGAAAATTACTAAGGGGTCTTTAGTCGTGTTTAAAGCTGAAAAACGTAATAATCTGTATGTTACTTGCGCTGAACCAATAAATGTGCCTGTAAATTCTGTAAATTCTGTTTTAGAGAATAGTGAATTGTGGCATAAACGACTAGGACACTTAAGTAATAGAGGTCTAGAAATTTTACATAAAACTGGCTGTTTTGGAAATGTAAAATTTGAACCTGTTGCTTTCTGTGATAACTGTGTTTATGGTAAACACCACAAAGTGCAATTTCCCCAACCCCCTAATAATAATAACCGAAATTTTTCAAAACAAATTTTAGACTATTTACATACTGACGTGTGGGGCCCAGCTAGTGAGCCCACACAAGGAGGGTCTAGGTATTTTTTGTCCATTATAGACGATTTTTCAAGAAAAGTATGGGTTTTTCTGTTAAAAAACAAATCTGATGTGTTTGAAACTTTCAAAAATTGGAAAGTTAAAATTGAAAATCAAACTGAAAAGAAAATAAAATGTCTTAGGACTGATAATGGCTTAGAATTCTGTAATTCTTGGTTTGATATATTTTGTCAAGAAAATGGTATTAAAAGGCATAAAACTGTCCCCTACACACCCCAACAAAATGGGGTGGCTGAGAGGATGAACCGGACTCTCTTAGAGAGAGTTCGAAGCCTTTTGGCTTCTTCCGGTTTATCCAAGAAATTTTGGGGTGAAGCTGTTATTACGGCAGCTTACATAATAAATAGATCACCTTCGATTCCATTAAATGGTTTGTGTCCTGAATTTAAGTGGACCGGTAAAAATGTTGATTTTTCGAACATTAGGGTTTTTGGGTGTTCTGCCTTTATACGTACTAATAATGACAAATTAGACCCTAGAGCTGAAAAGTGTGTTTTTCTAGGGTACCCGGAAGGAGTTAAGGGGTATAGACTTTGGTTAAGATCTAGGCCCGGTTTTAAGGCCATTATTAGTAGAGATGTTGTGTTTAATGAAAATGAAATGCCATGCTTAAATGTTGAAAAATCTGTGAGGGATAAATCTGAATCAAATGTTGAAAATGTAGATTCAATTAGTACACCAAACGAGGTGGAGCATAATTCTGTTGATATTAGAAATGATGAAAATAATGATAGTCTCTCTGATATTCATAATGAAATTACTCCTGAAAATAATTCTGAAATGAATTCCAATGTGCCTGAGATTGATAATTTTGTTGAGAATAATAATAATTCTGATTTTGATAGAAATGATCAAAATGAACTAGAAAATTATCAATTAACTAGAGATAGGGATAGGAGAGTCCCTAGATTACCTAGTAGGTTTGGTGATTTTGATTTAACTTCATTAGCTTTTAGTGTGTTTGAGAATTTAGATGGTAGTGAACCTAAGACCTTTAGGGAGGCCATAAATTCTGAAAATAAAATAGATTGGTTAAAAGCTATGAAAGAAGAAATGGATTCTTTATATAATAATAAAACTTGGAGTCTAGTCCCTAAACCACCTAATTGTTCTTTGTTGATTGTAAATGGATTTATAAGGTTAAACAAGAAGATAGTGGAATTAGGTTTAAAGCAAGATTAGTAGCCAAAGGTTTTACTCAAAAGGAGGGAATAGATTATAATGAAATTTTTGCCCATGTTGTCAAATTTACCACTGTTAGAATCATGTTAGCTTTAGTTGCCTTTTATGATTGGGAATTAAAGCAATTAGATGTTAAAACTGCTTTTTTACATGGTGAATTAGATGAGAAGATTTATATGAAACAACCTGAAGGTTTTATTGATAAAAATAAAACTAATCATGTTTGTTTGTTAAACAAGTCATTGTATGGTTTAAAACAGTCACCTAGACAATGGAATATCAAATTTGATAATTGTATGAAAAATCTTGAGTTTACTAAAAGCAAATTTGATTATTGTTTATATTTTAAAACTGTTAAAAACCAACCTATTTTTCTTCTCATTTATGTGGATGATATGTTGATTATAAGTCCATGTATAAAGTTGATTGATAATGTGATTAAGTGTTTGTGTGATAATTTTGACATGAAATTGTTGGGGGATGCCAAGGTGATATTAGGCATGACAATTATTAGAGATAGAAAAAATTTCAAACTGTTTTTAAATCAATCCACCTATATTTCGAAAATTATTAAAAAATTTTCCATGTGTGATGCAAAATCAGTATCTGTTCCAATGGCTTCTAATTTTGTGTTAAGTAGGGACCAATGTCCAAAATCTGAATCTGATTGTGAATATATGAAGCATGTGCCATACTCTAATGCAATAGGTTCCATAATGTACTTAATGGTTAGCACTAGGCCTGATTTAGCCTATGTAATTAGTTGTTTAAGTAGGTATATGTCGAATCCTGGTTTAGAACATTGGCATGCTTTAAAGGGGGTGTTTAGATACTTATCTGGTACAATCAATGTTGGTTTAGTGTTTGGTAAATATACAAAAAATATACAGTTAGAGGGTTTTGTAGATTCAAATTATGCTAATGATAGAGACACTAGGAAAAGTACTACTTCATATATTTTTACCTTGTGTGGAACTAGTGTTAGCTGGAAATCACAATTGCAACATATTGTTGCTTTATCTACAACTGAATCTGAGTATGTAGCAATAACTGAAGCTTTAAAGGAAGCTTTGTGGTTAAAGGGTTTAACTACTGAAATTGGTTATTTGCAACATACTGTTACTGTTTTTTCGGATAGCCAGTCCGGAATTCAATTGTGTAAAAATCCTGTGTTTCATGATAGAACTAAACACATTGATGTACGTTTTCATTTCATTCGTGATATAGTATCTAAAGATATAGTTAAATTAGAGAAGATCCCATCTGAATATAACCCAGCTGATATGGGTACTAAGGTTTTGCCTGCAAGTAAATTCGTATCTTGTATGAGATATATACATTGTGATACTTTTGATTAGCCTTATACTACTTAGTGTAGTTGGTAGGCTAATTTAATGTTCTTTCACTAACATTATGTATCTTTGTTGCAGGTATAAGGTAATATATAATGAAATAAAATAAAATGGGCGATGATGTTCCCCGACCATTCGGACCAAAAGTCAGGTGGAGGATTTGTTGGATTTTTTGTCCTTATGGTCCACCCCAAAATAGATACACAAATACACACTCGTTTTGCAGCCCGAGCACATTCGGGCCTGGCCCACGTCCCGACTTAGCATCCTGTCCCGACTTCGTCTGAATTCGACCGACCGTCCCGACTTCGTCCTGGCTAGGACCGTCCCGACTTCGTCCTGGCTTGGACCGTCCCGACTTGGACCGTCCCGACTTCGTCCTGGCTTGGACCGTCCCGACTTGGACCGTCCCGACTTCGTCCTGGCTTGGACCGTCCCGACTTCGACCGTCCGCCCGACTTCGTCCCGACTTGGACCATCCGCATACATACCGACTGTCTGACCTTATTCCTCCCGACCTTGACCCACGTCCTGATCCGACCCGACTAGGATCCGCGTCTTTTTTTTAGCCACGCCCCTGGCCGTCCGATCTAGGGTTTTGATCCTATCCGTCCATCCGATCTTACCTGTATATATATACCTGGGGTGAGAGAGGCGCCGTTATTCGATACATTACTCACTCTCTCTCTAAAAGCTCACCCTCTCTAGCCTTTCTCTCTCTCGACTTTTCTTTCGCTCTCCTGTCCGACGGTGGTTCACGGCGGTTGTTGTGTAGTGCCTTTCCTCCTGTTTTGTGGAGTTCCTTTGGCACTGGTTTCCCCCTGTTTGTGTTGTTCGTAGCCGAAAGGGGCTCGTTCAACTGTAGGCTTGTGGTTTCTGTTTCCTGTATGCCTTTTACTTTTCTGTGGGGTTTTTTGTGGTTGTGAGTCGTGGTGTTGTGGCCGGTGTGCTTGTGTTAGTCGCGATTCGAGTGTGTATGTGTATATGTTGTGTTTCGAGTGGTTAGGGGCTGAGCCTGGCCAAATCGAGTTAAAGTTTTGTTCGATTTTCTTAATAAAAGTTTAGATCCGTTCCGCATTTTTTAAATAACAGGGAAAAACAAATGAAAATAACTACAAAGATGAAGAAGAAGTATATTCATACAAGAGTAGTTTTGTGGACGGTGAAAATAAGGAATAAAATTATTTATTAGATTTTGAAGTCGATAAACTTTGTTTATTTATCTATCAAAGTAGTTATGATTTAATTGTTTTTGCTAGTATCTATGAATTATAGTTATATATTTTTTTGTAAATTTTATTGGTTTGAATGATAATTATAATATTTAATTTCTAGATTTTCCCGTCATATCATTTTAGAGGCAGAAATTCTCAAGAAGGCCAGGATATATACGCTATGTAACTTAGTATTTTGATGTGATGATTTTAGCTTAAAGTACCGTGTCATTAACCAAAGAAGTCAGCTAACCCGAGACGGATGGAGTACAATTTACTGGCATATGAAATTACTACATTACTAGCACAACATCAATACTCGCAATAGCAAATGTTGTCCTATCGACGATCCAAACTTTCTATAGGACACTAAAAAGAACCATCCATCGCATCCATCGCCATATTGATTGGCCCGTTGGCCTCCTTTAGCGGGCCCCAACACTCGACTTTGTTAAACTCTGGGATGTTCGAATGGAAGTATACCCAAACGAGAGATTCTTGAAGGTTCGGGTAGTTGTTGAATAAGCTACCGTCTCCATGGATGAAGGCCTTTAGGACAACGGGAAGTTCTTTCGAAAAAATGTAGTATCGGATGTTGGCGAAGATGTCCAAAAGAGAGTGGCCGCCGCTTATGTGACAATGCACATGTAGCGACATCTTTCCTTTTATTTTCTTCCACTCGGCTACCACTTCGTCTCTTTGGAATCGATTGTACCACCCTTGTAACTATATTCAAATATTTCGATATTTAATTTACAAGATTTGCATATAAGGGTATGTTTCTTTTGCAAAGTTTCCCTCGATTTTATTATTTGAACTCTGTATTTTTCGAGAAAAATATATTTTTTTTCTCTCACAAAACATCCCATCAAATATTATTTTCATATCAAATCAAAATTAAATTTTTTCCAAACTCATCAAAAGAAGCACACTGATCATGCAAATTTGAACGCGCATATATATAATTTTGCTTGCTAATATAGAATTTTGCATATTTAATTAAGACACTAATGATATTGAAGGTTTTTTTTTTTTTTTTTTTTTTTTTTTTTTTTTTTTTTTTTAATTTTCAATTGTTGTAGACCTGAATTTTTAAGATATTTTTATAAATATACATTACTATCTCCGTCCTATAAGAAAAGTACCATAAATTTGTTGTTTATAGATATTTAAATATTAATTATTATATCAATACGTAGTACAAATCAAGAGAAAATGACAAAAATATCTTTATTAATCTCTTGTAATACAAATATAATGACATCTATAGAGTAAATTATAGTATTATACAAATATAAAGATATAATTTTTAACGTTATATATAATGACGCAAAAGACAAATTGTACCATTCTTATGAGACGGAGGTAGTATACATTTTTATAAAACATTACATCCAATCTACTCGTACAATAATTTAGTGATTGTTGTTAAGATTTGCCAACTCAATATTAGTACGATATTGTCCGTTTTGGACCGAACATGTACAAATTTATTTTTCAACTTTCTTCAAAATATCTCTTACTAATGGAGTTATATATGAAACTTATAAAGTATGAATTCTTCTTTTAATTTTCTAATATAATATTTGAGTAATGAAAAATATTTAGTCATTATTTTTTTATTGCTTAATTATTATGATTCATTATAAAATACATTAATTATTTTCTTTCATCAAATATCATATCCAAATAATTATTCAAAACAAGAAACTTAAAAAAATAAAATAATCAAACAAACAAACCCTATTTTTGCAATAACTCGTAAAAAATTGAGTATATTATACTCCTTCCGTCCCAAATATCGTGTCTGCTACACTGTAGACATGGGTGTAATTAGTAGATAATTAAAAATATATTAGTGAAAATAATTATCCTATAATATAAATAATTATAAATTAAAATTAAGATAACTAATTAGTTTAATTAAAATTTTAAAAAAATAAAATCTAAAAATTTAAAATGAGATTGAAGTGTATAATTATTTTCCAAAAAAAGAAAATGACATGGTATGTGAGACGGACAGAAACGGCAATACGGAGGGAGTAAGTATTTATAAATGTTTTAATTTACAAATCAAATTATTACAAAAACGTGTAATTGTATTAGTAAAAGATATACATACACTCGTATTATTGTGCATTATATAGTTTAATAGTTAGACTTGCTTAAGTAAATATTCAAAACCCTAAATCATACTAACTATGTTTGTTTGTAGATTTTCAAATTAATTTAATTATTTATTAATTTTTTCTTCTAAAAAAAATTCAATAAATACTTATTTTCTATATTTATTTGTTCGTGTGTTTGAGAGATGTGTTTAACGTTTTGAAGAATTAAATTTTAATTGAAACAGTTATTTGATATGATGTCAATAGTGTTTGAGAGATGTACTATATGTTTAAGATTTTGAAGAGTTAAATCTAATTGAAACAGTTATGTGATGTGATTTTATGAATATAAAATTATTTTTTCGATATAATATAGAGAATAAGTATTTATTTAATTTTTTTAGAAGAAAAAATTAACAATGATTGATATAGAGTTTATTCTATTAAATGAAAATCATGTGTTCGAAAATGACACTTTGGTCATCTTCCCCAATGCCAAAATAATAGGGCATGTTTCTTTTAATGAGTTTAGAAAAAAAATTGAATTTTGTGAGAGAAAAAAATATTTTTTTTTCGAAAAATGTAGAATCCAAATAATAAAAACTTGATATTTAAAGCGTAAAGAAACAAACCCTATATTTCAAAACACATGACCAAGACAATTTTTGGGTGTTTTTTTTTTTTTTGAAAAAATAAAATAATTATTGGATATATATTATTTTAAATAGAAATTTAATATATTTAATTTATTAGCAACGATAAAATTTTATTCTATTTTTCTACAAAAAAGTTCTATTATTTTAAATAGTTTTTCTCAACTATTTTTAATATTTTCCACATCCACAACAAATATAATCATTTATTTTTTACGCCTAAGTTTTAAAATATTAATATTCTATAAATAATATTCTCTCACTTCCAAAACTATAGTCTGTAAGTTGTGTTTGATACGAGATTAAAAAAATATTGATATTATATTGGTAGTTGGTAAAAAGCGGTAAAAGACTTTTTTACCCTTGTGAGTGTATTAGTGTAAAAAGTAGTGGCAATTGTGTAATAATAATGAAAAAATAAGGGTAATTTTATAGTTATATGATTATTTATGAAAATGAGACTATTGTTTTGGGACGGATAAAAATAGTAAATAGGACAGTTGTATTGGTTTGCAAGGTATTAGGTTCGGCCGGAGGTTTACTTAGTGATCACTTTCGGGTAGCGGCTGCGGGTTCCCATATCATCCAAAAAAAAATAAATAAATATATTTATATATGCATTAACATTCCTTTCCAAATTCAAGGTGGTTGTACAAATCAATTTGAGTTTTTCTAAGAGAAGCAAGAAATGACAAAGTTAAAATTCTTCCTTTCAAACATGCAAAATTAAAATCGTGGCTCTGAATGGAGTTAAAGTCGAAATTAAAATTAAAACCCTTAAAAGAGTTACTCGGCTTAAGAGTTAGACTTTGAAAATGGTCAAAATCGGAATCAAAATCAGAGTTAAAAACTCTATAAATAAATTAGAGGTTAAGACAGTTACAAAATTCTCGACAGACGATCCAAATCTAAATATTAAATACTCCCTCCGTCCAAGAAAAAAGTATACATTTACTTTGGGCGCGGAGTTTAAGAAATAATAGTATTTTAATTATAATGAGTAGGTAAAAATAATGTAATGACATTTTTGTCCTTATTTTTTTTTTTTGTATAAAATTAATAATGTGATGTAAGGTAGGGTTATTTGTGGAAACAATGAGGTATTTAATGAAATGATTACTTTGTAATTGAACATCCCAAAATAGAAATATGTATACTTTCTAGGTGGATGGAGGAAATACTAAATAGACGTATCGAGTTTCTTTTTGCGACGCATGTCATTTCAAAGTCCTAAACATGGAGGTCGTAGTAATGTAAAATTTTTAAAGATTTTATATATTACCAAGTTAACCAATATATATATATATATATGATATTATCTCTGTCCGCCTTTAAGGGTCATATTTACATTTTACGTTATTTTATTTAACATTAAAAATATCTTTATATTTGTATAATTTTTTAAGTACAAATGTCGTTCTATTAGTATTATAAAACACTAATAGAAATATTTTTTCAATTTTTTCTTAATTTGTACAATATTTTGATATAATAATTATTATTCAAAGATCAACACGCAAAAAGTAAATGAGACCCTTCGGGTTTGACGAAGGTAATATTTTTTAATATATATATATATATATATATTTATAAAATTTATAATAATTGTATAATAATTTAAAAAATAAATAAATAAATAAATAAAAGTAATGGTAAATTTAATTTACCTGTGAATTATTAATGGTGTGAGAAATAGCGAGGGTGAGCTTAGCTGTGAGATCAGAGTGTGTCAAAGTGTAAATTCTTGGGAGAATTCGAATCTTTCCAGGATTCCTTTTTTCATCCAACCCTAAGTACATTACACTCAGCTTCGATTCTTCGAATGTTGCTGCTCCGAATAATCTCGCAACCTTAATTAATTAATATTGTTACTATTTAATTTAATTTAATTTAAGGGAAAAAATTATTTTTATTCTCCATGTAACCAAAATTTATCAATTTTGATCTCAATATAAAAATTTTATCAATTTTGGTCTAAATATAACCAGAACTCGTCATTTTTTGTCCAAATATAATTAAAACTCATTATTTTTTGTCTCAATATAAAATTTTTATTAATTTTTGTCCAAATATAACAAAAACTCATCATTTTTTGTCCCAATATAATCAAACCTTATCTTTTTTTATTCCACCATCAACAAATCGACGGAAAATATTGACGTGAAAAGGAGTCGAATCTTATATTTATATTCGAAGAAATTGCACAATCTTGCAAGTCCACGTCAGCATTTTCCGTCGGTTTGTTGACGGTGGGATAAAAAAAAAATACAAAAAATGATAAGTTTTGGTTATATTGAGATTGATAAAAATTTTATATCGAGACAAAAAATGATGAGTTTTGGTTATATTGGAACAAAAAAATAATGAGTTTTTTTATTATATTAGGATCAAAATTGATAAGATTTTTATATTGCGACCAAAATTAATGAATTTTGATTATATTGATGAAATCATTCATTATATATAAGAAAGAAAGAAATTACAGTACTTACAGGGACGACGATCACAGTGGTCGTCGGAATATTCTTTCTAATCGTCTGAATATTCCCTTTCCCTTCTCGAAACGACGTCGGTTTAAGCTTCCATGGAACCACTGAACTTGCTGCTGCTGCCATTTCTTTCTCTTTCAGTTTTTATTATGCTCTTTCTTCTTCTTCTTCTTCTTCTTTACTCTCTCTCAATATATATATAACTATGTATTGCTTTGATCTTGTAATAAGAATGGATGGCTGTCACTACAAAAAAAAAATATCAATTTTGTAACAAGACTTTTTCGTTCTTAAATCCACATTTTCCGTTACTAATGATATTAGATACGTAATTAGGGATGAAATTAAGTTAGCTACGTGAACTTTAGGAACAAAATTCCGTTACAAATTTATTATTTTTTTTGTAGTGTGTGTACATTTATTTTAATTTTAGTTTCATTTCCGTATTAATATTAATTTGAGTTTATTCGATTATTCCTTTCGCTATATATTTAAATCGTACTTAGAGGTTTGTTTGAATGAAGTCTAATGATCCACGATATAAATTTACAACAACAACAATTATTATTATTATTATTATTATTATTATTTATTTATTTTATAACGTAGGAATCACAACTGCTATCACTAAAAAAAAATTATTTTTGTAACAAAACTTTTTTGTTTCTAAATTTACTTTTTCCGTTACTAATGATATTAGAGACGGAATTAGGAATGGAATTACGTTAGCTACGCGAACTTTAGGGACATAATTCCGTTACAAATATATTATTTTTTTGTAGTGTATTTTTTTTAAGTACGCTATGCGTAAACACTAGTCGAACCTAATAGCTTGTAAACTAGGCTCAACATGTATAATTTTGAAATTTCTATTTTTTAAATCGAGCACAATAGGTTAAAATAATAATTTGAGAGTAATTATTTTTAGATACCACAAGTACACCAAAATATAATTATAGTTATATTAGAGAGCAAAAAAATATTTTTTTGGTCTCATTTAATATCATAATTATTAATTTTGGTCTCATTAATTAATTAATTTATTTTTTTTTTTTATCAATTTTAGTCTCATTGAAATTTTGTTATCAATTTTAATCTCAGCCGGCCAAAACGGCCGTATTGATTACCCTGCACTCGAAAACACGACCAAATTCAAAAATAATTACCTACTAACACATCCAAAATTATTGAACATGATCAATAATATTTTCATCTCAATATCAATGAAAAGTCAAGTTAAAAGATATAAATTGCAAAAGTTATTTGAGATTAGTATTCTGTTAACTTCAATTTGTTAAACAATTTTAACTTAAGTCTATTTTTTAATTTAAAATCCATTAATTAAGTTATTAATTAGAATATAATTGTTAAATTAATAAATGATTCTAAGAACAAATTTATTTATTTATTTATTTATTATTATTATTATTTAGTCTCAACACTTCTAAGAAAAATAACTCATTTTTTAATATAATTTGTAGTGGGAGTAAATATTTTCTAGATATTATTTATATATAACTAAAACAAAATAAATATAACACGTTGTTTTTTTTTTTAATTTGTGAATAGTTATTGGCCAGTACACATCACCAAATGACCTTATAAGGCTTTTTAAAAGATAAAATAAAATTATACTCCCTCCGTCAAATATACCATATTTACGTTGCCGTTTCTATCCGTCCCACGTACCATGTCACTTTCTTTTTTTGAAAAATGATTATACACTTTAATCTCATTTTAAATTTTTTAATTTTAATTAAATTAATTAGTTATTTTAATCTTAATTTATAATTATTTATATTATAGGATAATTATTTTCACTAATACATTTTTAATTATCTACTAATTACACCACTCCTAAAATACCGTGTCTATAGTGTAGCATACACGATATCTAGGACGAAAGGAGTATAATATTACACTATTGATCGCGAAATATCGATTGTTTGTTAAACCCTGAACAAGATAAGGGTTGAGTTGGGGGAGTTCGCAATTTGAATTTAATATTTTTATAAAAAAAATATTGTGTAGTAAAAAGAATTGTTTGAAATTAAAAACACACAAACTGTAATAATAATAATAATAATAATAATAATAATAATAATAATAATAATAATTGTTTAGCTTGATTTCATACCGATTATGTGAATACATTTAATTAAAATTTTGATATAACATCTTGTGACATTCAATAATTTACCGACAATTACGTATAAAAATATATATTAAAATAACGTGTATCACATGGTCAAATTTCCCGAACTTATTCCACCCTAAATTTTGCTTTGCTTTGCTTTTGTTCACACTCTAAAAAAATAATAAAAAATCACACATGATTAGCTTTGTGTGACTTTTTCGTTGGGCTTGGTTTGTAGGGAATGGTTCGGTCGAATGTTTATTCAGTGTGCATTTTCGGATAACAGTTGCGGATTTTCACGTCATAAAAAAAAAAAATAATATTTTTTTAAAAAAATATATATTAAAATATCGTGTATCACATGGTGAAATTTCCGAACTTATTCTACCCTAACTTTTGCTTTTGTTCACATTCTAAAAAAATAATACTCCCTACGTCCAATTTTTATTGTCCTAAAGCATATTTATACGGTTTTTTAGGTGATTGTCTTTTTGTTATGAATTGACAAATTTGCCCATAATTGTATGGTAGAGACTAAAAGTAATAAATGAATAAAGGGTAAAAATATTAAATTTGTGTTTAGAAAAAGAAATAGGACAATAGTTATTGGACGTCCCAAATAAGAAAGTAGGACATTAGTTTGTGGACAGATAGAGTAATAAATAAATAAAATAAAAATAAAATCTCACGTTATAAATATATGTTTAAAGGATGGATGGGGCAAGTCATTTTTATCCTATCTCTCATGTGATTTGTCACGTCAAAATCCGTCAAATAGTTTGGCTATAATTTCAAATTAATTAAGTTGTCAAAGGTCCGGATCGGAGTCCGGGATCCGTAAAAAAAAAATATGGCCCTCGGCCAAATTATAGATCAATCATTAAATTGTCAGATTTTTATTATTCAGATATTTTTTATTTTCTCCAAAAATATCATATTAAATAATTACTCACTCCGTCCCAAATATCATGTCCACGTTGCCGTTTCTGTCCGTCCCACATACTATGTCACTTTCCTTTTTTGGAAAATGATTACGCACTTTAATCTCATTTTAAATTTTTTAATTTTAATTAAACTAATTAGTTATCTTAATCTTAATTTGTAATTATTTATATTATAGATAATTATTTTTACTAATACATTCTTAATTATCTACTAATTACATCCCTCATAAAATATTGTGTATACAGTGTCGCAGACGCGGTATCTGGGACGGAGGGAGTACTTTTTTTTATATTATATTACAAATTTATTTTACATTCAAAACTTCTTTATTTATATCACATCAAACAGTTATTCCAATTCAATTTTTTATTATTCAAAAATTCAAGAAAAAAATTATAAGCCATGAACAAACAAACAAACAAACAGATCTAATATCATTTTCAAAATAACACAATCTATTTTATTATAAAGATGATAGTATTAATTTTTGAATTGTTGTATTTTAAAATGGTTACAAAATACTCCATATGTTCTATATGTTTTGGATGTGTTACTGTAGATACATAAATTTAGATAAAAGTGTTAGTAGAAATAATTATTATTTAGTAAAAATAATTATAAATTAAAATTAAGATAAGTAAATAATAATTAAAATTAAAAAATTTAAAATTTAAAAAATTTAAAATTTAAAATGAGATTAAAGTGGATAATCATATTAAAAAAATGAAAGGACAAATTATGTGGAATGAAAAAAAAATAAAAATAAAAATAAAGACAAATTAGATGGGATAGAGAATAACAAACTACATTACCATCATTAAATACAAATTGTAATATTCAATTTTATATTATTTGAAATCAATAAATAGTAGTATATATAATTTATAATTAGAAAAAAAAATCACCTTAATAATTGTATTTAATTTTAATATAATATTCCTCATTTTTAAAACAATAATCTCATGGTAAAAATTGTATTTTGATTTGACAGAAAAAAATATAACATACAATAAAATTCATTTGTACTAAAAAAATGAAAATTTCATATTTGATGAACGAAAAATTATAAAATTGATATTTTTCAACTATCATAAATAATATTACTCTCTTCATCCAAAGAAAATCATGTAGTTTTAATTATGTACGTAAATTAGAAAATAATAATATTACAAAAAGTAAAATATATTATCTCCGTCCGACTCTAAGGGTCTCATTAATTTTTTGCATATCGATTTTTGAATATTAATTATTATATCAAAATATAATACACGTTAAGAAAAAGTTGCAAAAATATAATACTAATCGAATGATATTTATACAAAAATTACACAAATATAAGAATATTATTTTTAATGTTAAGTATAATGACGCAAAATGTAAATACGACCCTTAGAGACAGACAGATGTCGTAACTTAATACGAATACTATGCACATACCCGGAATACATTTCCTTCGCAAAATTTTCAGAAGTTCGGGTCGCCGGGCTTCAGAAGCTTCGGCATCGTAGGCTCGGCGAACCAAACCTTCCGGCCCCGTCTCGTGTTCGCGGCAAATCTCGACGCCAAGAAAGTAGTCCGCAGGGCATGACTTTCCGACGAAGCTCGATTGCCGTCATCTTCGTCGTCATCTGACGATGACGATGACTGCGTGTAACACATGCTCTCGTGCCTCGCCAATTCCTCGGCGAGTTTCCGCCGCTTATGCCGCCTCCACGCCGCCTGCAAAATGCGGGCCCCCCAAGTCCGCCATTGGTGCGAGTAGTACCGGAAAACGTGCTGCAGTTTCTTGCTGTGGAGCCGCTTGAATTGGTTGGCGAAGAATTTGAGATCGTCTGCACGGAGAGCGAAGCCCTCGACTTCGGTGATGCATTTGACGGTCCGGGTCGAGGCTGGACGGTTGAGATTTGGGCCGATCATTAGGGCCCACGTTAGGAGCTCCTCGCCGCAGAAATCGCCGGGTTTGAGGGTGATGGAATTGAAGAACCCAGAACGACCTCCGTCGGTCGTCGAACTTTCGAGCTGGCCACGGATTATGAAAAGCATTTCGTTTACGGGGTCGCCTTCGCGGACAATGTAGGTGCATTTTGTGTGGAGGGAAGAAACGAGTCGCCCGCATATCGCGTCCAGGAGCTGGTCGTCCATTTTCGAGAAGAATGGAACCTAAAATTGGCGGCGCAAGGCGTTAGTATTGGCGAGAAATGTATGTAATACACAACATATCGAAATTTCGATTAAGATCGCTTCAAGTAGAGCTGACAAAAACTGACTCAACATGACAATCCGACATGAACCCAATATGAAATAACTGAATTTGGATCAAGGATTTCAACCCGATTATACATACAGGTTGACATGAACCTAATACGATAATAAATGAGTCAGGTTAGGGTTGAAGCTATCAACTCAAACCCGACACGACAATCCGATTATAATAATTAATATATTTATTATATATGTTAAATAATTCTAATCTAATAATGAGTACACATGTTAATTTAAATTAAATTCAATTTTAAATAATTTAATCTAATTAATTGTACACATTATATTAAAATCAATAAAAACTAATATAACACACGACAAACAATATTGAATTTGAATTTTTTACTTAATTATGTATACTTATGTATACGGATCAACACGAACCCGACCCGATAATAAACGGATTAATACGAACCTGACACGATAACAAATGGTCGGGTTAAGATTGAATGGTTTAACCCGTTTAAAGTATTTAACTCGACACAGATAGACCTATTGTCAACTCTAACTCCAAGAAATGACGATACTCATGAAGTTTTTGTTTTTTTTTTTGTGAAACTCCCTAATAGTTTCGAAATTCAGCGTAAAATATCCCCATACTTTAAAAATTGCATAGCACTCCCCTATGCTTTAAAAAACGTTCATAAAACCCCACTACCATGAAACTTCCGTTGTGTTATAAGAAAATGATTTCTTATCTATATATTTTGCATGGTGAGAGATTTTATGCAATATTTTTTAAAGTATAAGGGGCACTATGCAATTTACTGAGAATTTATACTGAGTTTCGAAACCATAAAGGAATTTTATGCAACGTTTTTAAAGTATAAGGGGGCGTCATACCATTTTTAAAGTAAAATAGGAATTTATGCTGAGTTTCAAAACCACAAAAGAGTTATGGACAATTTTGCCTTTTTTTTTTTCGCATCAAAGAATAAAAAGGAGATAACAAACTTACCCGGCGAACAAGGTCGAGGCAAAGATGCTTTTGAATTAGGCGTCGCAAGTCTAACGGTAACGCTTGAAGAAGCTCGTCCTCCTTCACTCCTCTCGTCGACTGCCAATTGTATTGAACGAATCGGCGCACACGGTCTTGCAGATTGTCAGGTAGCTGGCGATGCCTCATCCATTCCTCGGTATCTTTCCGCTTGATTCTCCATTCTTCAAGTCTTGCCGTGGTCGATTGTAAATAAGTCTACAATTTGAGGACAACATAACCCAAAATAATTCAAGATATTTCGATTCTAACTTTTGTCGATATAAGATAAAAAATAAGTTCAATACGTTCTCGCTTGAATCGAAATTTCTTCCTTGCATCCAAATCTAAAAGTCTCAGCAAACAACGAATACGAGAAAACAAAGCCACAACGACCCCAAAATTTAACCCGCGACAAAAAATTCATCACATTGTATTCATACCTGTACATTTCCGATTAGCAGCGCAAAGAAGACCAATCCCATAAGACATATCACAATACTGAAGCTTGTTTCGACTAGAAAAGGCGTCGCTTTCATGCTCTGACCGTATGAACTGCAAAATAGGATCGAACGAAAGACAGCTCACGGCATCAAAAGCCAAAATTGAATATAGAACATAGTAAGACACAATTCATCGGATGATTTATAATCAATGTAGCAAAGAAATAAGCCGAGAAAAGAAATCATGATTTAATCGGCATTATCAAGAACACTTACGAAGAACACTCAGACGACATATTAGAGGATAAAATGAAAGTAAGTATATAGGCGCGCCACCGTGATTGCTTTAAACTTGCGACAATTCAAACATAAACAGACAAATTTTTTTCAAAAAAGAGATTGAAAAGTAGTACGAGGTTAGAATCTGACCACAGACTTCTCAAGCCAAACCAGAGATTGTAAAAGTATTTCTGGAAGAAACTTGCAGAAGGAACGTCATCAGTCAAGGCGTCGCCAAACAATCCAAAATTAAAGTCGCTATCTTCCGGATTACACCTCTTGTAGATCTTCGTAGAGTTATACCACTTGTGATATTCAGGGCCGTTGGACGAACAATCAAGATACTTCATGTTGCAAAAACCTTTCTCTTTTTTACAATAAACCCTCCAGCATATAAATATTCGTTCGACAGCCAATAAATACCATACTGATCCCAAAACCTGCAGACGACCAAAAAAAAAATTAAGCCAAATCTACATGATCGATACTAAACTGAAAAAACAGACAATTCACTACTTACATGACCGGCTAACAAGAAGAGGATGAGATTATAGGCGGCCCCTGTCCAAGCAGTCGTGGCGACGACGCCGGTGTTCTTAATAATTCGAGCATTCAGAGGGAACACAACCATGAGTTTCGGAATGTATTGAAGGATGATGAGAAAGGTAATTGTATGGTTAACATTGGTTGTTGTTCTTGACATCACAGATGGCATAAATCCCCAAATTACACACTGTTAGATGAACACAAATTGCATAAATATCAGCTAATTCTTCCTCAAAATCAAGATAGTGTTTCTAGAAACGATGGAATCGAATGAACCCTAAGGATAAACCCCCAAATTACGTCAGATTAATACAAATTGCACAAACATCAGCTAGGGTTTAATTTCATGATTCTTTCTCAAAATCATGATAATGTTTCTAGAAATGAAGGAATCGAATGGAGATGAACAGTAACCCTAAGAAAACATCCCCAAATTAGGCGGTGTAGGATGAGCCAAATTGCACAAGCATCGGCTAGGGTTTAATTTCATAATTGTTTCTCAAAATCATGATAATGTTTCCAGAAATGAAGGAATCGAATGGAGATGAACAGTAACCCTAAGAAAAAATCCCTGAATTAGGCGGTGTAGGATGAGCCAAATTGCACAAACATCCGCCAGGGTTTAAGTTCGTAATCCTTTGCTTAAAATATGATAATGTTTCTATTGGCATATTCAAAATTGCTGAACCCTTTTGTTTCTATTTTTAACATACGAGCAAATATGCAGGATGTTGCAGGTTCTATTTGACATCATTTCGGGAAACCTGCCAACTGCAGAGTTGACCGAGTTACAACTTTTGAATGCATTCTATGTGTTCTACACACGATGGAACAAGACAAATGAATATGTATTGGACAGAGGACGTGCAGGAAAAGGCTGCATGTATTGTCCTCTCATACTGGATGACATTAAATGACCTTAAACACACTGCCCCAAAAGTTGTGACAGTCAACTTTTGTCTTTTGTGTAATGTGTATATATTTTGTTGGATGTTTGTTTGTATTCATGGTTGAGCTACCAGAACTTAGAGAGAAGTATTCCCTCCACTTGTTAGAGTGTTGAGAGAGATCATCCATGGAGGGTTGAAGGCGAGAAGAAGGATTCTCGAAGCCGGAGAAGATATTCATCCGGTAAACAACCTTATTCTTAGCTTGGTCGCTGGCCCGCTGCAGTTGTTGCGGTAGAGTAACAGCCAGTCCATGAGAGTTTGTAAACCAAGTGTTTGGTTTAGTTAAGACTCCTGGATTGAAATCCCCCAGACGTAGGTTGGAAAACCGAACTGGGTAAACAAACTTGGTGTGTTATTTTTCTTTCTGCACTTATTCAGTCATCGATTCGTGCATGAACACACACCTCTGTTATAACCGCGAGACAACTACGTTGTAAAGCTGTGTTTACGTCGAACGTTTCACAGTTCCGCTGTGCAAGGTACTCGGAGGCGTTGGACCTCTTACGCGCCCCTCTCCGCGACTTCCAACAGTTTCTAGAAATCGAATGGAGATGAACATAAATCCCCAAATTACCGAATGAACACGAATTGCACGACTTCAGCTAGGGTTTAATTTCGCAATTCTTCCTCGAAAATACGGTAATGGTTACAGAAACGATGGTATCGAATGAAGATCAACAGTAGCGTTAAATAGCATCGAAAATTTCAAAATCAGGCATACATACAACAACAGATTGGTAATGAGAGGAAAGAAATTACCTGTGGAAGGGGAAGCGCTGCGGCGAGATCAATGGCGAAATCTTTGTTCAAATAGTATCGAGCAATCATGGCCGGATCCGTAACCAAATCACCTCTCCCAAACACGCGAGTGTCACGCGCGACGTAGGCGGTGCGGAATTTCATCAAAATGTTGAAGCCGGAGAACATGTCGCAAATGGTGCGGATGGCGACGAGCGACCCGGCCCAGCCGTAGTCCATCTTGAGGCAATAGCGGTCGGGGAGGAAGCCGAGGAGGATGAAGAAGAGAGGATCGACGAAGAGGGAGACGAGCGAGGTCGCGAAGAAGATACGGTTCCATCGGATGACGCGCTCGCTGCTCGGATCCTGGATCTGGAGCCACCAGTCCTTGTGGCGGTCGCGGATGGCGGAGGTCGGGTTGGGGAGCGGCACGAAGCGGATGTTGAGGTGGTTCATGGCGCATCGGCATGGCAGGTAGGGATGAGTAATGCGGAGGGAGGGATTGGGTGTGGGGAAGGGGAAGGAGAAGAAGGAGGGGCGCCATTGTTGGGACCTCTCGGGAGCTTCGCCGCTAACTTTGTGCGTTGCAGATTTGGTACGAAGAAGGCCGTCGAATGTATTTTGCCGTTAATAATAATAATTATTATGTTCTAATTATAATTTACTTTATTTCTTCATTAAAATTAGGGAAAAATTTAATTTTAGTTCAGTATAATTAAAATTTATCAAATTTGATTTTAATATAAAATATATCACTTTTAATTTTATTATAAACAATTTTAAATAATTTTGGTTATACCATTCAAAAATTAAAGAAAATTGCAGACATAGACCAAAGGGGTAGACGTAGAGCTGATATGGAAACAATATGGTCATGTAAACTTCTACACCACCACATTGTCACACAACATGCTTAATTCTACACGGACTGTTTTTGTTTTTGTAAATAAAAATTATTCTTTTGTTATATTTTATTTTTTAAAAATAATTTTGAATTTATAATAATTGATATAGTTAAAATAGAAAAAATTAATAATAATCCTAATATAATTAAAATGTATCAATTTTAGTTCAAATATAAAAAATTATGAGTATATTCTTTTAAAGATTTTGTCAAAATCTAATATTCACCAAAAATTTTCTTTTTAAAAATATTCAATTATGCAAGTATTTTTTATTTTTTTATATTATATTAAAAATTAATTTTATATTTCAATACAATTATATATGTCTATTATGAATTAATTTTATTAATCTTACATTTTAATATAATCTCAACATAGGCATGCATAATTTTATTGAAATGTAAAATTACTTTTTAATATAATATAAAAAAAAAAAATAGTTGTGTAATTGAATGTTTTTAAGAGAAAAATTTTTGGTGAATAACAGAATTTTAGGTAAAATTTTTCAAAAGAACATACTCAAATTTTTATATTTGAACTAAATTGATAAATTTTTATTATATTAGGATTACTATTGATTTTTTTTTTATTTTAACTATATTCTAAATTCAATGTTTTTGTTTTAAAAAAATAAAATTTTAAATAAAAACAGAAAGATACACGACAATGTAGAATTACATATGGTTGTGTGACAACGTGGTCATGTATAATTGTACATTGAATTATACACGATAGTGTGACAACATAGTTGTGTATAATCGTATATGACCGTGTTGTTTTCAGGTCAGCTTTCCGTCAGCAATTTCTCTTAGTTTTTTAACGATGAAATCAAAATTGATCGAATTGTTTATAATTTGACCAAATATGATGATTTTTTTTTTTTTTTTTTTTTTTTATATTGAGACAAAAAAAAATTGATAAATTTTAGTTACATTGAGACCAAAATTAATTTTTTCTCTTAAAATTGTGTGTCTATTCCGCTTTGTTGGGTTGTTTTTTCAATTCGACCCGTATCGCCCGACCCGATCGAACCCTACCCGAATCGATTTGATTTTTTTTTTTTTTTATATGGAATCCATCTTTTCTCTCGTATTTTTTATTCAATCGAGAATGAATTATTCTTTTTCTTATGCCCAACGACTTCACGACTTCAAAATTGGAAATCAGTTTCTACATCTTCGTGGTTGATCGACAAGGTTTGTTCCTATTGCTTGGGTTTGTGGGTTTTGGAAGGGGAGAGCCTGTAAGGGGTAAGGAGTAAGAAACTATCGCTTGGTGTCGATTCTTTGTATTCTTGCTTATTTAGTGTTTGTCAAAGTTTTGTCGGATCTCCTTCCAGTTAGACTTTGTGCTCTTCTCTGTTCTTTATCGGATTACAAATTGCTCGGTGGCAAAACCCTGGATTGCTCCCATTTGTGTTGTTGCCTCGTTGCAACGGATGAAGTTGGTGCAGAGTGGAACTTTGATATGAGTCTATTGATTATTCAATATATTTCGTTTATATTATAACACTGCTTTCTTATTTTATTTTTAGTTATTATTATGATTACTGACACTAACCTATTAATACTTTTAGTGAGATTATTTGGTTGTTGGAATAACCGAACCATCGATCTTTAAAGAAAACAACTTTCTAACACTTTTGATTGTACGCTTATTTATAGTAAATACTCATAATTTATTATATTTACATTAATAAATAATAATTAATTTTTTATTAATCATTTCGTGTATTTTTATTTTATTTTTTATCGATTTATTTTGATATTAAGATATTATTATCGGATAAAGAGAATATATTTTTAACTATTTTCTTGATCATTAAAACAAAAAATTAAGTATTTTACTAAGAAAGTACTAAAATAAAATATAATGAAAATTATTAAAAATTAATAAAAGAATTATGATAAAGAAAATATAATGATAATATAATTATTGTTTGTTGTATTGAAAATAATAAAATTATTAATGATATGTTAGATATTTGATCGATCTCAAAAGAAGTCCAATACCTCCGAGTTTTGTGCACAGCGAAAATATCATCGGTGATTGAAACAACTTTGAATGTATGAATGCCTCATGGTTGAAACTGCAGTGTGTATTTGTGCACAAATCAATGGCTGAATGAGTACAACAAAGAAAACAACATACAATGTTTGTTTACCCAATTCGGTCTTTCAATCTACGTCTGGGGATTCTAATCCAGGAGTTTTAACTATTTGGTTTACACCATATAAGACACTACACAAAATTATCCAACCTATCTTCTACCAAAACTCCATTTAATTTTTATAAACTCTAATGGACTACTTGTTACTACGTCATAACAACTCCAGCGGACCAACGACCAAGCTAAGAATAAGTTTGCATGCCGTATGGTTATATCATTCCGCTTCGATTTCAAGAATCCTTTTTCTTAACTCTTCAAACCTCTATAGACGAGTCTCTCAATACTCTAACAAGTGGAGAGAATAACACACTCAAAATTCTTCGCACTCTTCCACAAAAAACATATCAATACATACAAAATATAAAACCTACACACAAGAGACAAAGTTGACTAGTGTAAAGTTTTGGGGTAGCGGGGATGAGGCATTAAATACCTTCTAGGACAAGTGTAGCACGTCAATGTCTTCTCATGCACGTCCTCTACATGGGACAAGTCGATTTGTCCCGAAACATTAAGGGTGTGTTTGTTTGGGGGATTGAATTGGATTTACACTATTCATCCAATTTTTTCTCCCAAAAAATATCAAATCAAATACCTATTTTTCATTTTTTATATTATAATAAAAATCAATTTTACATTCAAAACATCACATCAACACCTATTTATATCACATCATATAACTATTCAAATTCAAAACTTTTATTATTCAAATCTCAACTTAAAATCCAAACCCCCAAAAAAACACACCAATGTCTGGCAGATTTGACCTGCCCAAAGGCAGCAATTCGGCCATAGTACCTATCTAAAGTGAATTTGCCAAACATTGTCACACAATAGCTACAACAAAAGTGAATTTGCCAAAATTGTCACACAATAGCTGCAACAAAAGAACTGCAATTTATTTTTATTATAAGTAGACTATATGCAAATTTAGCCGATTATAAAAAAAATATTGATATAATTATATTTGATGAATCAAATTTAATTTAATTATAAAATAATATGTAGTAAAATAGTGTAATGAGTATTAATTTACATCCCATTGATGAATTGGTTGGGAAGTTTGTTGGATATGAATTTTTTTCTTTTTCTAAATTGAAATGTTGAGTTGATCGATTGATTTCTAGATTGAAGTTGTTATGGTTTGATTTTATGACTAAAAAATCAACTTAAAGGAACAAGTATATGCGCAACTATACAATGTATGCACCTTATGTAAGAACAAATCTGAGAGGTTTGTCGCCTAGTGTGATTTGTTTTGTCGGATCTACTTTGCATATTATTAGGTTCGATCGAAGATTCACTCAGAGCGTATTTGAAAAATTAATGATTGCGGATTTAAACGTTGCAAAAAAATCGATAAAAAGCTGATGGTGCTTATATATTTAAGCCTCTAAAACAAGGTTATTCGACATTATTTTTTGTTGTAATTGAAATTTAAAGCCTCAATTATAGTAGAAATCATATATATGATCCATTGTATATGCTCTTATGATTGGAAAAAGCTTTGAAGATCGACGAATATAAAAAAAACATGAATTGATGATACATTGATGTCAGAAAATGAGACAAAAACTCAAGGGATAAAAGTAAGAAATATTGAGTATTCCACATTAGAAAATTGTCGGAAATTCTCATTGAATATAAGTCGTGAATGACAATTTTTCTTATTACTAATTGTTTTGAAATGAAATCCTTAATTTATTCTCGTGATATTAGAGTCGAGACATCTTGTATTCGTATTTATTCAAAATTAAACTTTTGAGTGAGATGATTATTTAATATTTTCTCCGTTCCAATATAATAATTTTGTTTACCATTTTTGTCCGTTCCAAAACAATAGTATCATTTCCATAAATAATCATATCACTATAAAACTACTCTTACTTTTTCATTATTATTACACAATTTCAACTACTTTTTATACTAATACACTCACAAGGGCAACAAAATCTTTTACTCGTACTTTTTACCCACTATCAATATAATATCAATATTCTTTAAATTCGGTACCAAACACAACCCAAACTATAGTTTTGGGACGGGGGGAGTATAATATTAGAATTATATCAACAAACCCTAAATTCTTGGACCCAAACATTGCCGGAATTGAGCTATTTATACCATAATGTCCGAACACAAAAATTTTAAAATAATAGTATTTTAATGTAAAAATAGAACAGATAAAAAATAAAATGAGAGTATTATAAAAAATGTATTAAAGAGTTAATAAAAAAAATAGATTGTTACATAGTAAAAACAGTGGCAATTTGATTATTATTCGTTATAACAAGGATAATAAAATAATGAATTGATAAAATTGTTTACTATAAATAAATTATACATAAAAATACAATATAGTTATTTCGAACGGAAGGAATATTTTTTATTTATATTTAAAACACAATTTTTAATATCTCATATAAAAATAATTCAGTCTAAAATGAACCTATAAAATTATTTTTATACAATTTTATTTAAAGAACTAAAATT